TCAGTTCTTGAGTCATTCACAGACTCCATGTACAGTTCTGAGCCATTAGCCTGTGATGCGCTTTCCTTAACAGAGAAGCAGTGCCATTGCCTTGCACAAGCCACACATCTGCCCTATACACAAGTCATCCCCACACACTCTAAACTCACTGTAACAGGGTTTCACTCAATTTACATCTGTTTTTTTGTTGCATTTTCAGTGCAAGCAGGGACATCTGTGACATATCATGAATGAGAAGTTCTTGAGCCAACTTCTGGTTACTCAGCTCAGAGTCAGCAAGCAATTAAAAAAGAATACATCATTCAGTGCTTCATATTAACAAGGTTAGTCACAGGACTACCCAGAAATTTCAGTTTCCAGAATGAATGGCACATGATCAGCCAGGGGGCTGAGGAAATCCTGCCAACAGAGAAGGATACGTTCTAGCACCAGATAGCAGTGACTTCTGTGTTTGTTTTCTTGAAAATACTGAGAAATCGACAGACTAGTTTCCCTCAGATACATTCCCTTCATTTACTCAGGTAGTGTTTAATACTTAATGAATGAATGAGTCTTGGTTGGGTCTCATTGTTGTAAGCACCTTATAGGACCCACACTGCTGGCCACTTCTTCATTCTGGGATATCTAAACAAAAGGTTTAGAAGGAATTCTCTATTTCTTTCTGCATGCAGACTTTCTATTCCCACTCCAGTTTTTCTCAGCTAGTTCCTGATCAATCTTTTTCTAACAAACAGGATCCACATGAAAAATTGTACCAAAACCAAACTTCCTATGGTCTTTGACATATACTCTGTGCAAGAGACTGACCAAGTATAGTTGTTCAGTTGTTCTGATGAACAGTTCTACATTGTATTTAAGCTTTGTTGGGGGCTTTTAGGCTCACAGATACCTTGTTTTCAGTGCTGTAACTGGTAACTCTCAAGCAGTTAAGGATTTCTTCATGACTACCAACATGTAACACTTCCCTCTAACAGAGCAAAGGAGGAAAGTTTGTCATGTGCCAACTCAGAGATGGCAAAAGGGAATGTCTACTCACCTACACAAACCCTTCCACATTATTTCAGATTACACATCCTATCAGTTTCAGATAAGACACCTGGCTGTTACTGAAGCAGATGAAAAACGTTCCCATGTTCCTTTTTAGTGACTCAGCATTTTACTGCCATGTTTTAAATTATGCCATTCTTACAAATTTTTTTTTCTTAAATAATTGTGCAACAGACTTTTACAGAGGTGGTCTGCACATCATACTGCTATAGTTACATTGAAGGCAAACTTTTCAGAGTTTCTTGCTTTTCTTAGCAACTTCTTTCTCTTTCTTAAGTCTCACATTTCTTTTAGCCTATGTATGAACAGCCACTTAAAACTGTTTCAGCATTCTAAGACTGACTCACACATTCAATTTGATTTCTAAGAGGATTAATCATTTCCTTATTATCATTACTATGAAGCAGGAATGATTAGAAAGGTTTTCAATAAACTCATTTTTCCCTCTTTTTTTAAAATTTTCTTAAATTTAAAAGAAACCAGGCTTCTTTTCAAACAAATCCATTCCTGTGAACTAATCATTCCGGACAATAGCAAACAATTGCAAATTACGACCAAATCTTAAACATTACTAGAAGCTAGGAGAAAGACTTGTTTCCTTATAATTTTGAAGTTGTTCAGATGACTCAGATATGGTGCAAACAAAAAATCCAAAAAGTATTTGCTTTGAACATTACACATTCAGCAGAAACTACGTTAACTGGTGCAAGCTGTAAGACTGGAATGACGCTTCTAATGACATTTCTTTATGACAAGGTGGTAAAAATATTAATGCTTAACATCAACATGAAAGCACTTTACAAACATGAACTAGGCTTCCTACCTGCATCACTTATCTGTTTAAAAAGGGTGAATTCAGGAACAGGAAGGACCTGTCCAACGTCCTGTTAAGCCAAAGCACAGGTGAAGCCTGCTGATACCAGCATAACACAAACCGTGCAGTGGGAGCTGATCTAAACACAGCAAGTTAAAAGGCACCTCCGATTTCCCATAACACGTCTGGTTTTCTTTGCAGATTCAGACAAAACAGAGGAAGTTTAGCTACAAGACTGTTGCTCAAAGAGATCTGTGGTTTGACAAAATTTGACAAGTATCCCTCCCTCACAAAAGGTCTCATCTGTTCAGAAACTCTCAAAGAGGCTTGCATGACTTGTTTTAACCAAATTTAGTGAGCTGAGAGACTCTATCTCCCTCCAAAGCACTTTGGCAGCTATGTAAGAATTACAAGTTATCTAACAGACAGTGGTTACCAACACCACTTTCGCAGGAAAGCCTTGAAGCTGATAACTGTGATAAGCAAATTAAAGTGAACTGCACAGTGGAGAAGCAGCAAAGCAAAGCTGCTCACATCTTGTTCCCAAGAACTCTGGAATTAAGCTACGCCTTTCTCACATCAGGAACTGGGCTTGCATAGGATAAAATGGTGGCAGTGAAGGAGAAAGACTTAAACACAGATGTGGCTGTGGACAGTTGTATCTGATATTCTTACAGGTGATGTACTTTTTGTACCTCCTGAACTGAGGTAATGATTTCATATAAGGTACTATAAAACGATGTTTTTTTTCTCTTGTCCCTCAAATTAGCTATTAGGAAGAGTGGAACTACTTTCCTCCTTTGCAGACCCCACCTCTCTCTGCCAACTGGAAATTCTTTTTCCTAAGACATTATGGTTATCTGTCTCTTTCCTCCTTCAGAAACTCCTTTTTCTGTCTCTGGTAGCTATGGCTGCTGATGCTGAGCCAGCTCTGGGCCCCTCTGTAGTGGTGACCCAGTCTGGCTATCTTCCTTCTCAATGCACTGGTCCATCAACAGTGCAGTTTCAAGCAGCTGCTTAAATCTGCTTCAAATAAATGACCCCTAAATGAGGACAAATTTACACAAAGATGTCTTCATTCAATTAACCAAAAGACAAAATTTGTTTCTGTAGTAAAATAACAGCTTGTTTTCCCATCCGGTGTCGTGATGTTTATTCCATACTAAAGCTGAGAAAAATGCTGTGGAACTAAGAAACAGAGCCCAAGAATTCATCTGTCCTTACCAGTCATCCAACAGGCAAAAAAAAAATAAAATTTAGCTGTGGCCTACGTGAAATATAAACCTTTATTTGGGGAGAAGACAGTGAGAATGGCATGCTGAGATCAGTATTTTCCATTCAACAAGAACATTTCCCAGCTTTGTAGAGTTGAGTGTCTGAGGACAGGCAAGAGCTTTCAACTTACTTCAAAAGATCTCAAATCTGAATAATAAGGCATTTTATAATCAAAAACTTCACCCCATAAAATCCATTTTAGAGAACTGGCATCTAAAATCAGTAATAATTTAAAGACCTAGATATAGTTGCAGATAAGCTGATGGTAAAATCCTTTAGCTAAAAGCAGAAACACAACTGAGCACCATTCAACCAGACTTACTCCCCATCAGCTCAACTGCCTTAACTGTGTGTGAACATTTGCCTGAAGCCTTTCTTCCAATTTTGCTACTGGACACTTGCAACTCCAGGTGCTGCAGCTCCCTCTACTTCTCTTTATTTGAGAGATGAAAAGTATGAGTTCAAAATGCAATACAATTTTCAGGGAATACACTCATAAACAGCCATCTCTCATTCCCAGTTGTATCCAGCATATATTCAAGATCCCCAGAAAGCACCAAGACAGCTTTTGCCTTCACACAAACTCTAACATGGCAGAATAGAAATGCAGTTTCTTCTGCCCCAACAGCTGCATCCACAGAGTCCCAAGGAACTCCTTCCTTCACGTGGAAACAAAGGTTAAGTGTCAAAGAACAAAGATAATCTGCAAATGCTGTATCTTTACTTAGACAAGAGTTACTTTGACAAAGATGTATGTATTGGCAGAGCTTCACTTTCTTATTTTTATAACTGTGCTGGAATTATCTTGCTGATAAAGATGTGGATACCCACTATAGGACTGTTCAAGTTGCTGCACTTAGATGTTTCTGGGGACTAAGAGTGGACTAATGCAGCACTGCATTTTTGTCCAGTTCATTTCCAACCCAGTCAGCATGAGAAGAGGTTTGAAGGCTTTGCTTTCATTCCCTCTCTGGTCACTAGTAACTCAGGGCAAGAGGCTTAACCTGACTCAGGGTCTGAGTCTAGAAAGATTTAGTACAGAGACACAGGAAAAATGACAAGACAAAAGGCTGCAAGAGTTCTGAAGCATCAAGATACAGAACCATAAAGCATTTTCAAATGTGAAGGAAGGGACCTTCCTGGCCACAAATTTGCATCCTTAAAGCAGTATTACTGGCAAAATTTAGAAAGTTCTGCTGCCAGGAGCAGATTTAAGCTCATTTTCCACAATACACCATGATTTAATATTTGCATCTTAAAGTAAATCATAAAATTTATCATAAAATGTGTCTGATACCTAGCTTGGTTATTTGATGGTACAATGTAATTGAATTTCTTCCCAAGAAAGCTTCTGGAGCAATGACTATTTTGAGAAATAACATTTCCCAAGGAATGTATATTGACTGTGATGAATTCCTATAGATGTAGAGGCTAATTAACAAGAAGCTAACTAATAACTTGGTTGGATTTAATCCATATACTGAACTGGCAACATGCACCAGAGAAAGAGGCAGAGGGTGAAAGCATATATTTGGGAGAGAAATCACACATGACAGGCACTTTCAGAGTGGTTCACAGATATTTTAGATGTTGCCCAGCCCCTCTTAAACCTTGGGCTCATGTACTTTCCATTGCCCTTACAGGCTTGTTTCTGCTTCCTCTCCTGCTGTCTTTCCTGCATACAGAGAGCAAATTACCCTGGCTTAAAGATGAAAATGCCTAGCAGTCGCATATGCACAACATTCTTCTAAATATAAGCAAGGTTCTGCAAATTCTGCCTTTTACTGCTTTTGGATATCCTTTTGCATCAAATGCAGCAACAGAACATGAAAAGGAAGGAAGTTTTCTTAGTAACACCATTTTTATTGCCAAATTCCATTTACAAAGAAAGGTCTATTCTTTGCTCTTGTCCAGGTTTTCAATAGCCACGACAAATTATCAATGCCAGCAAATACAGACTCAAAATCCTGGATTTCAGAAACATACACCAATATTTTCTAATTCCACTCCCTTCTCAGATCCTTCGTTACTTTGTTCTTTAAATTAACATAAGATATCACATTTACTCCAAATGTCTAACATAACTTACATTAAATAATTAATACTTATTGCCTGTAGAAAGACATTTCAGAATTTTATTCACACCGTGTTTGGGCTTTTTTCCATGTAAACGTAAGTGCATGTTCAGGACTTTTTTTTCTCAAATGAACTACATTTCAGACACCTTTACTGAAATATATTTCATAGGAGGACAGTCCACGTTCATTAAATGATTTTTGTAGTGCTTAAATCCCAGGTACATTCATTCTTCTAGAAAAATACATTTCTCCCTCTTTGCACTGAAAACAATCAAACTTACAAAACAGCTAAAAATGAAGGAAAAAGTCTGCAACAAAAATACCAACACATCTATTCACAAGTGGAGATGCCTAAAGTTATCTTCTAAAGTTTATAATGCTTCCAGAGGGTTTACTGAAGTTGTGACAATGTATATTCAGTGCTGTTCCTGGCAAAACAAAGCTCCTAGACATTGTAATAGTCTATAAATTTGCACACTTGAATCTATTCTCAATCTTAAAAAATTATCTTCGTGCACATTGTAAATACTTCTGCCACAACTAGTCCTTAAATACACCCAAACACTAACCCTCAGATCTTCTCATATGTACTGAAGTGATCAGATTGCCATTTCTCTGTGTCTTAAACTCACTTTAGTATGAATATCCATAACCAAAAGTAATGGGAAACAATAAAAAAAAATAACCTCATGAATCTTCAGATTATCATCTTGAAAGAATCCTGTGAACTAGTCTGGACCTTAACTTTTGTTACTAGTATTCTTAGTCATTACCTGCTTAAGCCATTTTTAGTTACTTTTAAAATAAATGCACTCCACACATTTATTTATGCTAACAAGACAGTCCCAACAATGACAAGTTTTTCCTTTTCATATTAAAAACCAATGAATTCAAGTTAGCAAAACAACCAGCTACCACCATAGTGTACATTTATTAGACAACCAAAATTTAGCTTTACATTTATAATACATTAACAAACACAAAATATATATTTTTAACACCTTGCAAAAGAAATAAAATCTGAGCAACGTGCAAATCTAGAAATGTTGGGAGATCAAAATAGGGAAAATTCTGTACAAATGTAATATAAAAATATGTTTCCATATGAAAGAACCCTCTTTTGAGACTCAGTCAAGAACTGCATCTCCTATGTCTTTGTTGCTGCTCAAGTCCTGAGCAGCAGAAAAACCCCCGAACACTACTCCCCTCCCAACCCCTAAAAACATCCCACCCTAGCAAGCCCTGCTTGGATCACCCTCTGCTTTTCAGAATCCAATAGGAGATGGGAAGAGTTACTCTATTTTTCTAATTCATGCTGCAAATGTTGGGAAAGGTCAAGAGAAATACAGTAGGCAAGCACAGGAGAATTTCTCCGAAGATTCTGAGATAATAGAAGAACAGTGCCCAGGTGAGTGACATCCTAGGGTAGGGGCAGTGGTGGTGAAGCAGGAACACACCAAGAAACTCTTTCAAGAAGGACAGTAGCCGTTCAGAAGAAAATTTTCAACATGTATTTAGATGGCTACATTAGGCTGTCAGAAAGAAGGAGACTAACTACCTTGGAGGCAAAAGGCCTTGATCTCTCTGCCCCCAGCTAATGTCTCTGCAGACGTCTGATTCAACTACAGGACTAAAACCATTTATTCTCCCAGACAGCAACTGCTTGCCTGGGCAATGCTCTTTTAAAAGTAAGTTTAACTTTAGGTGGTAAGTGGAGACAAGAAGAGAATGTTTAGCTTGGGGGGGCGTTTCTGACTACTGCTCCCTGGTGGTCTGTGTCACTGGTCCTGAGGCTATTCTGGAGCTCCCTGTCTCCTGCAGTGAAGGGACAGATTACACCAGAGTGACAGCACCACGTGAGTGAAGTGTTTACTCTTAGGAAGTGGCTTCATCCTTACACAGTTTGACCTGTTTGTGTGATAGCTCACCTAGGTCTTCAAGCATAAAGTTTATTTTACTGCTGACGTGAAATGACACAATTCCAGGGCAATTTCTGAATTTCTGGACTGCTTGAAGCAATCACCCCAAGACACTTGCAGTAAGTGTGGAAATTACAGTCACTCACATCTTACTGCTTAATTAGGAAAAGGCTGGAGCTGAGTCAGGGCAGGTTTAGACTGGATCTCAGAAAGAGGTTTTTCCCCCAGAGGAGGCTCAGGCAAATGAACAGCAGACCTATTCTTTTATTTCCCTAACAGTACCTATCTCAGTCATTTCCTGTGAAGCACTCACCAGACAAGTGATCATGAAATTTAAAAGCCACTCAAAAGTAATGAAAAGCACAAAGCCACCCTTCTTTCCCTTTGCCCCATTTCTTGTGCAGTGCAGCTCAGGGGTGAGATTATGCATATGCATTGAAGAGACTCCTTGTGCATGGGTCTAATCTTGCTAGAACTGAATTTGAAATGAGATAAATAAAGATCAAGGTTTTCCAGTCTACAATGGGTTTTATTTAAGGGAACTCAGCCTGCACAGTGGTATTTTGTGTCATCTAGGTCAAGAATTTAAGGTTAGTAACTAACATAAAATGCTTTCAAATTAAGTGAGGTATTTTTTATAATGGTCTTCAGAATATTACTGAAACTACAGTATAATGCTGCAAAATTTTAGAGAAAGTCTAGACTGCAATCAGTTCAGCTAATAAAAAATCATGTGGTCTTTGTGCCCAGATTGCTACTGATATCTAGGCTTGTTCAGGTACATGCACATCAGCTGCAACAGTGACTGCATCAGTGCAAATCCATCTTAAGCATGAGAGAAAAAGACCAAAAAAATAGGCTTTTATTTCAGTAATACCAGATTTTCACACAAAATCTACTGCAGTGCTGAGGACACCTAACTTGGAGTTCATTTAGAATTTGTGCCAGTCTGGAATGGTCAGAGTATCAGTTAATTCAATTTGAGAGAAAGTAAAAGTCACAGAAAATTAGAAATCAAAGCTGCATGAAAGTTAATAAGGGGGAAAAAAATTACTGGCGTTCAGTAGCAGACATCCCATATACCCAGTTGGAAAAGATCCAATTATTATGTGAAGAAGACAAAAAGTGAGAAAAGTGGTACCTGTGAATTAGTCAATTTCATATATATATATATATATATATATATATATATATATATATAAAATATAAAACACTGAAAAATCACTTCAAGTATTCCCTATGACAGCCAGGAAGAGGTACAATAAACAGCTGGGAAGTGGGTAAAAACTTTGCAAATTCAACTATTTGGTAAGAACTCAATGCCAGTAGAGACTGAATAAGGAAATAGATTGCAGTGGTGACTGAAATCAATTCCAAGTAAACAGCAGTCCTCCTTTGAGGAATTGTCAACAGTGTTATGAACAGACCAGCAACAACAATCTACTCATTCTGCTATTCATTTAAATTAACTTACTTGGAAATTGATGAAAAATCTTAAATTCCTTTCATGTTAATTATGTATCAAATCAGCAGAGAACATTCCAAACTTTAATCAACATCTTTTCCTTTTCTGTCAATTTGGTGTCAGTATCTAGGAAGTAATGTTAACTCAGAACTTTTATGCAGCAATGCCATTTAACTGGAATACTATCCCTGAAAGGGAGAAAAAATTATGTAATACCTTTCGAGATCAGACTTGCAAAGGAATTAGCAGTTGGATATGGTGACCTTCTTCCTACATGAATATGAAAAATCTGAAAAACCTCTTTAGAGTAAAACTGCTTCTGTCTGCTTCTTGAAGTTGTCTCAGTTGCAGGGATATCACTATTCCTCAGATGTGTAGCAATTTGACTGTCAGAAGTGAACAAACAAGCTATAGTAATATTTTAAAATATTTTACATTCTTGTCTAGGTGACTAAGCAAAGACTAAAGCAGTCTCAAAAAATCCCTTATGTTAATCTGAACAAGCATTGTATTTTAACTTTGAATCAAACCTTGAAATAAATATTTCATATGGAAAACATAATATTTAAGTCTGGAGTCCTACCAAGTCAATACTGAATGTGGCCAAGCCTGCTGGTATTGTGCAGACCTCCAAAAGATGAACAAGATCAGGATTAAAAACCAAAACCAACCAAAAAAACCCAAACAAAACCCCCAAACCCCTCCTCCACAAAAAAAAACCCCAAACCAAACACCAAACTGAAAAAACATACCCTGACTCAAATGGAAGTTTTACCTCTGTCCTACAATATATAATTTTTTCTGGTCAATGGTACATCTCTTGTTTCAGAGATGCAATAATGCAGTACCATGAAGCTGGGTATCCAAAAATCTCTTCACTTTGCCATAATACTGTAGACCTTTCAATTAATTAGTTCCTATTAGAAAGACAGTAGGTTCTCTGAAATACGTTCATGTTCTTGTATGACATTAACTGGTAGGAAAGAACCACTTCAGGTTCAAAAGGTTGGGTTTTTTCTCTCTTCTCCAGTTCAGATATGCTGAGTATCCGATGTTGGGTCTAAAAGCTGCTGACATTCTTGGTCACCAGTTGGTCCCTTCGTGTGGACCTGAGGCCTCTCAACCCCCAGAAGTACCTGCGCTCCCAGAGAAAAAACAAATCACAATTTGGTTGCGCTTCCTTTGCTATTTATTGGAGCCTGCATGGTGGCTTTAGTCAGAACATTCTTCCTCTACCTCTTTCACCTTGTCAGCTTCAACTTCAGACTGCAAAGAGGCCTGAGGGATGCAGCTGAATGTTCGAATGCTGTGTGGATCAACTGGTGGCACCAGTGTGAGCGACTCCACGCTCAGCGTGTCCGTGTTGTCATCTGTGATTAAGGATATTGTGGGCTGCTGTGCAGGAATCAGGCTGGGAGACAGGTTGGCTGTTTCTATGTCACTGGTTTTTACAGTGTTTTTGCTGGACTTTGAAACAGCTGAAAGAGTTTCGTCAGTCAACATTGTCTGACTGGAACTGGCCATCAGAGGCTGCTCTGGAGCTGAAGCATCATCTGCGAAAAGAAAACACCAAGAACAATCAATATTCAAGTCAGTATGCACATTAAGCCTAACAATGTACCATTATTCATTAGTGTTCAAGAATAACTGGGTGGAAAATGCAGTTCTGTGAAGAACTACGTTCACACATCCACATTTTAGCAACAAGAAATAATCCATATTATTATAAAGGAATAACCTAAAATGGCAGCAGGATTCCGTTCAAATTAGGAACCAGACTATTATATACATTTAGTATTAGAATACGTAGCAATATTAGATATATTCTTAGAGAGAGGAAGTAGAGGGAAAGAAAACCTCTCCAGTATTTAGTATGAACTAAAATGAACTGCAACCCCATATCAGGAAGATCTTTAGAAATAAAAGAAAAAACTAAAGAACCACTCCACCAGCCAGCTTTCCCAAAAGGTGGCCTGTTTCTTACAAAAATTTGGAAGCCATTCTCTCAATTCATCCTCTAGATTCACATATAAGTGACACCTCAACCACAGAAAGCAGAATTATGGCAGAAGGGGAAGGAGGATAATGTCCTTACTGCAAGTGAAAGGTGCTGCAGAAGAGGCCTGTTTTACACAGCCTTGTGAGACACGGGGGTTTTGTCCTCCTAAGCATGGAGTATCTAACACTGATAAAATTGAGAATAAGCATAAATGCTATAGAAAACAGATATGCTACTGCACCTTCCCACATTATGGAAAAAACCTCCAACATTCATAGCTATTTGTACTGTCCTTTCCTCCTAAAAATCCTAGTGAACTGTCAAGCAAGGTGTTCACTTGGCTCAGGATGGAGATCGAATGGAGGGGATGAGGTGATACGGCCTTAGATGATCAAGTATGCCAAAAGAGGCAAAAGTTTTTTTTTCTTTTCAGACAATAATAATACAATTACTATTACTACAATAATAGACACCATTAAAGTAACAGGTATCCAGCTTCAAGACAGACCAGTTTTAAAGCTTTTGTAAGAAACAGCATGTGTTCAAGTGTACAGGCATCTGCAGAAAAGCCTAAAAGGCAATGTAGTGAATACAGAAGTTAAGAATTAAGTTATGGTTTTAATACACAGTGACCTTAAAAATATTTCCGTTTCAATATGATTCCAATTAGTCCTAGAAAAGAACACAAAGCATGAACATAAGACAAAAAAAAAAAGATAGCAAAAAAGAAAAAAAAAATAAAAACAAGTAGAGAATGAAATGGGTATTAGTAAGATATCAGTGGATAACACTAATATTATTGATTTTTTTTTACCTTTATGGCAAGATAACCCAAACAATGGTGTATTCTCACTTCAGAAACCACTCACATGTACTTTTTGCTGAATTTGTGGCTAAAGCTTCTTGCTTTGATAAAAATAAGATTTACAGATGGTAAAAAAGTCTACTTTTAAATAAAGAAGACATCAGTGGTTATTTTTGAACTATAAGGACAAATTCAAAGTCACCCTACAGATTCTTTTAATCTGCCAAGAAGCTTTAGAGAGAATGTAGCAACTGACAATGGAAGAAATGATGCAAGAATCACATAGAAAATGAACTGCTAAAACAATGAAATACAGACTCATTTCTCTGAATTCCAAGCTAAACACTAACATCTCAGTATGCACAGACAGTGAGTTTCTGCTTTTTGAATCTATAAAATCTTAAAAGAATATCAAATGTTCTTTGCCAAGATAATTTTTAAATCTTGCTTATACTATAGCATGAATAGTCACCCAAATTCAGGATTCAGAAACCTGAGGCATTCTGGTAAGTACGGTATTGCCAATCGATGCACTCTGTTCAGAATGCTGTATACAGCACATTTCTATTGCAGTTCTATTTAACTTCTGAATCCACACATCATTTCTTAAATCATTCCTTCCCTCTCCCAATAGAATATCTATGTATTTTCTTAATAGTAGCATTTTCTGAAATAATGAAAAACATAATGAAAGACACATTCTTTTGTTATGGCTGGACTGTCCCCAGATGCTTCTAGGTAGATTCTAATGCTAAAGTGACTCCCTTCTTAATGCCACAAACAAGAAGTATTTGAAAAATGTCATCATAAAAAAAAGTATCTGGTGATAGCAACTCCGAACTTTCTACAAGAAAGTCTCAAAAAACATTAAGAAGAAAGATAAAAATATCAAAAACTGTAAGCAGAATATACTGTGCAGTATTTCAGTGGCAGCAATTGTAGAGAATACAAGACCAGAGCTCTCCTCTGCTTCCCTCCAGCTTTTATTTACTATTGCTAGAAGCCAGTCTCTCTCTCCTCTCAGGATGTCCTTAGGTCACTGCCAGCCTCACTTCCATCACTCTGGCACTGAATTTCTGGGAACAGTGGCTGACTGCTATAACCCAAGGTGGCACTACTGCCAAAATGACCAGAAAGCAAATCCCAGCACACAAAGGGGTAGAGAAGGGGGAGCTCTGAACATTTGTCTAGAGCTCATAAGAATGTCTGTCTTTAAGCAGGTGCCAAGATAGGTACCAAGCTCTTACTTCTAAAAAGTTTCATGTACCCAGCATGTTTACAGATTAATTTCTCTATTTTTTATCTGGAACTTCCCTTTATGCAACATATAAAAATACTAACTGGCTTTCAAAAAACCCAAACTCCCAACACTTTGTTTCATTGACTTTTGGATAGAAAGAAAAAAAAAATTGTAATTTTTCCCTGGATAAAACTACCAGTCACCGAGATATGCTCTGCTCTTAAATATCAAAAGGTTATCACCTAATACTGGAAAGCAGCATTTCTATTTCTCTCTCTCCAGCCTCTATATATTTAAGTGAGAGTGTTTTGGCACAAAATATATGCCAGATCCACAACAAAACCAGGGAGAGTGAAGTCAGTCTCTTAAAATGGTCCTGATCTTAACACCAAGTTCTAACAACAGCCTTCCATACCTCCAAACTTATTTACTTGTTCAACACAAAGTGTAATTTTGCAAGTTTTGGGGGTATTATTAGCTCTCTTTGGATGGAGAGCCTTCAACAGCATTACATCTTTTTCAGCAGTTCTTTAATGCTACCAAGATTATCATTACAGCAAAAAAACCCAACTAAAACACTCAACTTGATATGCTAACTTATATTAAGGGTGATTGTGAAAGAAGTTACAAAAGAACAGAAAAAGGAAAGAATGAATACCACCCACAGAGAAGTGGCTTAAAATATACAGCAACATGCTATGAAAGGATAACAAAAAATACAAATTACAAGACGCAAAAAGTTGCAAATTAAATCTATAAATATGAAAAAGGGTGTTTTTATAATATTAACAGAGTGAAATATCTTCATGCCATGACAGTAACAAAAGCAAAGAAATTAATTAGATACAAGTTAAAACATTATATAACAAAGATCATTTGGAGTGTATTTCCATTTTTTTTTTGCATCTGCTCTCCCTCCTCACCTCCTCAGGTGAGGACAATAAAACAGTCCATGAAGTCATCTGCCAGAATCTGATGATCACAGAAAAACTAAGCTTGTGCCATCAGAGTCCAGGGACAGTCTTATGCTGAATGCCTGTCCATTTTACCTGTGCTATAAATAGATTCCTTGCTGCCAGCCAAGGTCCTGCATTACTGTCCATTCAGGAGCCTGTGCTTACTAAATTTCACTACAGCCAGAGCTGCCCTGTGCAAATGAAGACATAGCTGCTTTGAAGCTGGAGGCTTGATAGCACAATTTCCACCTTTGTCAAGAGTGCCCAGAGACAAGGGAGAAGCTGCAGACAAGGCTTTCAGAAACAGCTCATTGCTGCTTTACAGTTCTCCCAAAACAAAACGTAGAGACATATTACGATGCTTTCTTCAGTTTCCTACCTCACTGTCATTGCTGTCAGCATGGAAAGCAAATATGTTCTATTGATTGTTATGGGCTTGTGAAGGCTTATGGAGGAACCTGCCTGAGTGGGTATTGCGGGAGTTTCTGCTGCAGCTGCTGCTGGAAGGCCTAAACCCAGTGTCCACCGTGACTGTCAGCCTCCGACAGACTAAACACCCGCCGGCGTCCTTTCCTGCCAGACCTTACTAGAGGGAAACACAGCCAGAAATCATACAGAGGCTTGAACAATGACACAGGGAAGGGAAACTGGAATGGAGACAAAGGATAAATGTTAGAGCAGTAACAAGAATAAGTGACAAGGACACACCCGTAACTGCTGGTATCTTGCATACAATTTGACACCACTCCAAGAGCCTTCTACATTTGGGAAATACTTCTGAAGCTGGAAGTATACATTCTTTAGAAATAAATGATTTTATATGAAGTTTATTTTTTGCTTCCTATCTGAAAAGGTTTGTAAGTTTGGGCTACATCTGGCAATACCAAGAGCACTTACACCAAGGAGGGCTGGCAGGAATTTATTTGCATCACAAACTACTCACCTGCTTTAGAAACTTTGAAAGAAGTTATTTACCACAATTTCTGGTGACACAGAATTATTCTCCTTTCCCCTGGCCATGAATTATATGCAGTACAGTACTGTGCAGGTGGACAACACTTCAGACTGCTCAGCCCTACTATTCTCATACCCAACAGTAGCATTTACATTTGGTTTATGATAAAGCCAAACAGGGTCTGAAAAGATAACAGCAGTTCAGATGATGATGCTTGGTGCATAGAAAGTTCCTAGAAAAGAAACTTTCTAAGAACAAAAGTACTTCCTCACCTAGTCAGAAAATTACTAGAGCATCATAGAACAGGAGGTCAAACCACATTTACATTACTGATTATAGAGGTAAGAGACAGAGATGGTTTCAATAGGAAGGCAGGCACTGCTCTTATAAACTTTCCATGCTTGATTGATCACCCTCTCCTTGGAATGGAAATTTAATTTTACAGACTGGAATCCAATATGTTCTCTGCAACAAGGGACAACTGCTCTTAGTACTTATTTTAGATCTTTTATCATCAATACCTGCCAGAAACATGAAATACAACTGAAGTGGCATGGACCAGTGCCTTGTAAAGTCCTCATTACCTATTGCTCCGATATAAACACTTTCTTAAGTACTGAAGCCAATTGCTTTTTAAAAGTAAAGACAGCTTAAAAAGTAATAAAATACAGCACAGATGACATGAACACATTCATAATTCTGGAAGATTGCTAACTTACTGTAAGAGAGCTTCTATATCTAATCCTTGGCATGTATGAAAATAAGCACTTTGAAGAAGTGCACAGTTCCAGCAAGGGCAGCCAAGACATGACTGTATTCTAAGCTCTGAAACTTGATGACTAAAAGCTGCCTAACAAGAGAACATTTCCATCTTATGCATAGCAACATTTCAAAAGCACATGATAATAATAATAATAAAAAAACATAAATACAAAGAAAAAACCAACCTGATAGTAGCACTTGCAGAACCTGACACTGATTTTTCTGTCTTGCTAAGCATTCTGTTTTCCTTAAGGGATGATTTCTGCTTTTTGAACTTTAAAGAACAGTAATCTTGTAAAGAGCTAAACCTAATCCCCCAACACCGCAAGTGGGCGAGCTGCCAGCCTTTAAAATATCTGTGCCATAAAGCAGTGTGACAACTACTAGGTAGGATAGCCAATAAACTTGGGAATCACAGGAGTTTATCTTGCTCATGACAAAGCAGTTGATGCAACACTGTGTGACTGTTTGATGCAGGTACAAGTGATAACAAGTGAATTATCTATACCAAACATTGAATTAACGTAACTTCTTCCTGTGACACATTTTTGAAAGTTCTTTTGCTGTTTAATCATCAATATACCCTCTATGTTGTAACATTTTCTCTTAACTAGCATTCAATTTGTCATTATTTTGTTCTATATCACTGTTTTATGTAAAAATTGGAGTCTATGTTCCAAATCTTATTTCCTGAAACAACTCTGTGAAGATTTACAAGTATCATCTCAAATATATCAAACTCTGACCAGTTTAAATCTGTCAACACACTGTAGCTTAGGACACTATAATCACAAGTTCACAATATAAAAAGCTGTGTGTTTTAAGATGTTGTTCTTAAGGAAGATAGGTGAGGTAGTTTCCTTGAAGTCCAGATAGGCATCTCCCCTTTATCTAGTCTGGCCTTCTTGTCTGAAGTTCCTGAGCAACCAACGGTGCTCTTCATGCTCAACAACTTGAGCAGGTGCCAGAATCAACAGGGAAGCAGGGAAGGAGGGGCAGAGTGCTCCTACAAGTTTGTGTGTGTGTTCAAAATGGAATGGGAAATGAGACCACTGTGACAGACTGCAGCAGCACTCAGATGCTACCCTGGGACATAAAACTACCTTGGTAATTGCCTACCACTCATCAGCAACTGGTTACTTCCTCCTCAAAGGAGCCACTTCACATCATGCAAGTCTCTTCTGCTTCACAGCAGTTTAGTTTCAACTGTCCTCAAGTGGTTAAGCTAAGAGAAAACCACTGCTTTACACAGAAGTGGGTGAATTGTTTCCCTGTCTCAGCTGAGCACTATGACCTGATATAACACAGACTGTGCTCATGGCACTGTCACCTACTTCAGCAGACTTCTGTTCATGCACAAGCCCACAATACAGCTACCTGCACTTGCCAAACAGACCCTCACTTTCATGCCACATTCCTGGCAAGTTTCCACTACAGATCACAACTACATGTAAGTACTACCAAAGAGAGAATATTCAAACTTGCAGTAAACTGGTCAATCAGCTAATGCAGAGACTGATCCCAAGAATAAATGACACCGAGTATTGGCAAAAAGTGTCCACAGAGCTCCAGGGACTGGGGAAAACCCTTCCTACATTCATACCTCCTGAAAGACCTAGCTCCAGGGATTTCAGAATTCTCACTAGTCTATAATAAGGACCTTGAGACACCATCAGACACTCAGACACAGGTTTTAAACCACTACTTGCTCATTACTGCCTGGAACTGCACTAAACAGTTTGGTACAGATCAGGGTAGCAGCTTTGAAGAATTAAGCACGCTTACTGCTTTAGTCTGATTTTAGGAATAGTTTCCATGCATTAGTAAGATTCTTTTTCAATAAACAAAACTATAAGATATGTTGCAACTATGTACCAAATACACTTCAAATACCAGTAGCAACATATTAGTCTGAACTGATCACTCGTCCTTTGAACATGGCAGGGATTCTTGGTCCTGAAGGTCAGAGCAAATATGGTCCAGCAAAATCCCCAAGCTAATGCATGCACCTCAGTACCAACTGTGCATTATCCTATCGCAACGAAACACCTGCTCATGCACCTACAGTCACTGTCCTCCTCTTTGTAACTGCCCTCTGAGCAGAACAAAATCCAGAAGCTGAGCTCAAAAGTCAGCAGCAAGTTCGTGGAGGCTGCTGATTTGGGACTGAAGCAGCTAATGCCCATTGTCAGGTTCATTTCCTCTGACTTGGCTGAAGGTGACTGTGCACAGAAGTGGATCCTCACACCTACATTTGCTAAAGCATCACAAAAGAAATAAGAATTAAAGCACACCCAAAGACAATTTTCCTGCACAACACATGGCATTTTGCACATACTTTATGATTAAGTCACAATGAAGGTCAAGGTGGGCAGTTCATGCTGCTAACTGGTAAAGTGCATACTGAAACCAGGCATTTCAAAATACTTTCCCCTGGTTTTGTTTTTTTCATTATTTTCATTTTTGGGGGTGAGGAGGGTAGGGAAGAGTTTGGGATTTATTGTTGGTTTTCTTTTTTTTGTTTGGAAGCCAGTGAGCACCTCCTGTCATCAAACTTCTTTAAAATGCAGGAAAAACAAACAGAATTTTATGTTACACAAAGACCAACATGCCGTGTAAGTAGACTGCAATTTTGTTAACCAGAGTCTGTGATTATACTTCAATAATTCACTATCTTTCTATACTTGATGAGTAATTATGTGTTCTGCATCTATGCATTTTTTCATATAAACCAGATTATGTGTGCTTGAAAGACCCCTGAAATGAAGCATAGTCTTGCCTGATACTTGTGTGAACTAGTATATTGCTTATACCTACAAAAATAATACAGATTCTTTATTTTCATTTGCTTTACTGTGGTTTTCTCTTAGCCCCCATTGGCAAGGATCTGTAGCTGCATTTCTCTGCTGACCACAGAGAATTCAAATACAGCAAAAGACACTGGTACATGAGCCTTCTTACACCGCTAAGGAGAAACATGTCATCAGATTCATGTTTTCTTTTAGTGCCAATTCAGCCTGAGAGTTTTGACTAATGACAGCACTTCTCTGTGCAATGACTACACATTACTTGGGCCATGAAATGACTGCAATAGCAATCACTTGACAACAGAGAAAATAAAATTTTGAATAGGTAGTATATAGAAAAACATTCCAAATTTTATCCTGAAATTACACATATTGCAGGACTATTTTGACAATATGTTAGTCTCTCAAGTTAATAGCTGCTTTTGAATCTAGAGTCTGGGTGCTAGAATGCTTTACATTTTTATTGTTCCTTAACTTCATCAGCAGCCTTTTGTCACTCTTTTCAGCGGTATTTTTGGCAGGGATACTCACTTGAAACATATACTGCACATTGATCTGCTGACACTGTTCAGTGAAACCTAAAAACACTCAATACCTAACAAAGGTTGCATCATTTCCTGTAGGACTGCAATGAATTTAGATATAGATGGGCTTTCCAAATAAAGGCAAAATACCATGTCTTAGAAGGAGTAGTGAACAACACTCTCAAGGAGTGAGCAACTTTAGAAGTGACCATTAAAATGAGGGCTTGCTTGAAAAAGTCTTGAGAATCAAATTACCTCTAATGTTTTATAACCAAAATGAGGTGGAGTAGGCCATTTCTAGCATGAAAACATTTCAGGATGCAGCCTTTGGGATTTCCTGGTTTAGTCTCCAGCCTGAGGCTTTGCCTCACACGATTTGTACTCAGAACAGACACCATTACAAGATTCTCTATAACTACTACATAAAAAGGAGGAATAATACAACAAGAAGTTCCAGTTTAAGCATACCCACTTAATATAAATATCCTAAATATACTGACCAATGCGAACACAACCAACCTACATTTGTGAAAGTTACACTGTCAGTCTATTTCTATTGCAGCCTCTTCCGCACCAATAAAACAGCCTCCTGAAACGTCTAAGTGTTCAGCCACAAGAGTGTTATTGCAAAAACTTCACAACATTAACATCCTAAATAACTATTTTCAAATATTTTGTATTTAGCCCATTGTTACAAATTAACTCGAGGATCAGATAAACACACAAAAGCAAATGTCACCCTGTTCAAAAAAAGATGCTTCATGTGGAAATCAACTTATCCACTATGGTGAAAGGCTAAGTTTACATTACAGATTTATTCAAAGCAATACTTCAGTTAAAACAAACCACTGACAAAAAAACCCTCAACATGCTAAGCTGTGCTAGGAGAGAAGTCAGATAAGCAGGACATTATTTCAACAGTACTTAAAAGTCTCTACTGAAAGACGCCAAATACTTAGAGTTCCAGAAAGATGAAGAGATCACTGCAATTTACACCAGAATTTACTTTCAACTGGCTTAGTTGATTAAGTGACATAAAACCATAAAGCCCTACTCTTTTAATCCAGGAACATAGTAACTTGATTTTACAGTGAACTGCTCTGCATCCCTTAGCGCCTAGGCTGAAGGTGGTGAGTGAATACCTGCTGGGCTCTGAGCAGCAGAAGGAGTGGATGTCGAGCTTGCAGTCACTGAATCACAGCGTCCTGTACTGCCACTGCCACTGGAAGGGGATGGTGACGAGAGTGGGGATGGATTGTGCTGATTTATGCACTGGGCTACAGCAAAGCCTGCAAAACAAGACAGTAAAGTTTACAAGTTAAATATTATTTTGAAAGAGTTAAGCTGTTGAACAAACTGGGAAAAGGTAAAAAGCAAATCCTGTATCACGGTGATGCCAACCTCATCAACCCAGAGGATGTGTCCTCTCCCACCTTCATCTCGAAAATCAGAAAATCTGAATGTGCCTTACTGAAAACAGGCTACACAGGCTGATCAATGAATAAGGAAGTAGAGTTAAGGGATTCAAAGCATTTTATAACTTAGAGGTCGCACAGTCAAAAGTGTCCAAACTCTTCCATTTTTGATATTGTCAATATATTCACAGGTCACAGACCTTAATCTAATAAGGAAAATAATTAAGCGAAAAGTGAACAAAAAAAACCCTTGGATAGAAGGCCTACATTTTTTACTAGACATAACTTCAGAAAATTTTAATCAATCACATCTAGCATTGAATTTCATCCAGCCTCTCACAAACTAAACTTTTTCCAGTCTGAAGACTGGAAAGGTCTATACAGTGTCTGACAGTACTTCTTAGATGAGTCATCTTCTGGCTTCTAGTGTAATACCTCTTTAAACTCTTTGCAGTGTAGCATCCTTTTCTTAACCACCTTGCATTCATTCATTTCTCCTTCTATAACTACATACCTATAGTCACCTCTTCAGGTTTAGATAGCAAGCAGCTTTTCAGAAGTTGATGTACTTCTTACAGCAAAAGAAGTGTCTTCACCATGGGCTGTAGGTCAGGTGAGGTACACAGCTCTTCTGCTTCTGCAGCTCTCCTCCCTCTCCCATGGGAGAGTACTAATGCAGAAGTCTTTCTGGCACTCCTGTGGATTATTGAGAGTAGCCACAATGTGGCCTGTAAAACACCTAACAATACTCGCTTCCTTCACTGCAAAGTCAACACTAAAAGGGAAAGTATCTGCCAGTCAGGCAAGGCTAAAAATGCACCACACAGTTCTTTATCCTTTTATAGAGGAATCTCCCACAGCACTGGACAGATGATTCACACAGAAACTCTCCTGTATCAGGAATGTGCTGTTGTCATAGAGGAAGCAGTCACCCAAAACTCAGATATGACAAGTCAGGAAAATGCTGTTAGCAGCAACACACTGAGAGGTTGCGTACAAGTGAAAACGACACAGTGAATAAAGCTAACAAACATCAGTCCTGTTAATAATCTGACTTGATCTGCAGTCCTTCTACCTTCTACTTCTCATGCTTACCCAAGAACTACTTGCAGAAACACAATGCTATCTGAATTTCTGTAACACTGCAGCATAGTTTTAGATAGGTACCTAAATGTCACTTTTATCGAATTAAATTACAATTCATTATGTTCAAGAACACCACTTGAAAGAATTAAATCACCACCAAGGCAGAAGAGATCTCTCAGTGAAAAACAAAATAGTTTGTGAGGAGCTAATTATCTCATAAATGTAAATAAATCCATCTATTTTATTTCAGAAACCAAACCCACTGAACTTCTACAATCATTTAGATAAGTTAAACTGAGGTTACACACAGTGACGCCTGATAGTCTGCATAAAGTTAACCACAAACTGAACCACCTCAAATGTGAAAGACTTCCACATGTATCACTGGCTCTGAGTGCTATAGTTTTTAATCACAGAAAATGTACATTAGATTTTTCATACACACTTCATAGTTTGAAATACCAGTTAGGCTTGGGAAACAAGGAATAACCAGTGGACTTGTGACCACAGAAGTGAGGCAAAGCCAACTCTTAACGTGAATGAAATAAAGAACAATTCCTAAAGACACTGGTATAGAAGAGCTTACATCAAGGTATTTAGCTTCCCTTAAACTGCTGGTAAAAGCTGTACCCATCCGAAGCATTCTATATCCATAAACAATTTGCACCTCAAGGGAGAAGAAATCTTCCACCCTCACCAGAACAGCAGAAAACAGTTAACAAGGTCTCCCATGACTGCCATAGGGAAAGCTAGTCTGATTTAGGATTGCAAGCCCAAAGCTTCTGCAGAACAGCACTTGTGGATTCATGTCCTTACATGGGAGCATTTGCTTCAAAATGACAAAAATACATTGAGATGTATTTTCTCTCCCAAAACAACTGCAGAGGAAGTATTTTAAGTGTGCCAAAAGAAGCTAATTTAGGTAGGAGGGAAAGGTAAGCCTAAATAATTCAAAATACTGTAACTCAGAAACTACTGACCATGAAAAAATACTCTGGAAACTCCTTCAGGAAATACTTGCAAAGAAAAGGTGAGCAGAATTAATCAGATACAGGAACCAAAACAACAGTTAGAAGATTCATCTGATGATGACAGGAACATTAGCTCATACTACACAGTGTTCCAAAGCTATGGATGATTTTTTTCCTTCAGACTTTAAAATGAAGATGGTTATAGCTTGCTTGCCATGTCAATGTTAACAAGAAGTCTTTTTCTTAATTTTTTCCCCTCAAAACCTTATCATCATGTACTAAGGTATTAACAATGGATAAAACAGTAAGAGAAATCTATTGATTCCTTTTGCTCTTCAAAATAAATTTACTTAGTAGGTAAGCAACCACACTTGTTAAAATATTTAGATGTACCTTTTGCTGGAAATCGTTAACATTTCCCTTAAGACACACTGGGCATATAAATCTCAGAATAGAGCTGATACTTGAAACTAATTCTTGAGTTTGCTTGAAGAGGAAGTCATTATTTACTTTCAACGGAAGACCTTTGTTCACAGGACCCCTACCAAATCTGCTGGTTTCTTTGAAAACAGCATACTTCTTTATTTACATAGGTGCTTCAGAAGTACAATATATTCATACATAGCTAATACATGAGATGGTGAACAGTCCAGCCAGCTACACTATTCCTAAAATGCTCTAACATTCTAGCAAAGGCCAATAACTTAAAATAGCCCTTGGAGTATATTCATAGCCATGACTTCATGATGATAAAATTGACTCAGTGAGGGATTTTGCTTGCGTTGTTCTCTGCTGAGAACTGTGCAGCCCATCAGGAGATGATTACAGCACGTCCCTGCACTTGGATAACCTGCACTGTCCACTGTGTTCAGTGGCGTGCTCTGAAGCATTGTCTGTGACATGCCCATCCCTCTTCACTTGTCTTGCACAAAATCCAGTTTTTAGCTATAACAATCCTCACCCTCTTCCCCCCAGACACCAAGATTTTAACTTTGGACTGTCGAACAATGAAGGAAAATGAAGCCCAGTTTAACAACACAGGAACACAGAAGGTAACTGTAGGCTCTCTGCAGACATATGCAGAGCATTATGTAGGCACTATGAGAGACACTGAACCAGACAACTGCAGTGAGTGCTCTTGAAAATTCTAAATAGGAATTAGGGAACCGAGTCAATAGTTGTATTAAAGTTCTTCACAGACTGAATTTTGCAGGAGGAATGAAAATGCTTATATAATTTTTAGTTTCTTAAAAACAATGCTGGATGTACAGTGCTGACAGCCAACATGGTCCTACCAAAAGTAGTAATTAGTCTTCTAAAAATGTTGCCAGAAAAACATTGCTCTCTTTTAAATCTACAAAGGACATCACCAAAGGAAAGCAAAATTTATTTATTAGAAGTACAACCAAATTAACTGACTGTGTGAGCTTTGCAGAACTTAAAACACCAGCTGGAACTGGTGCAGTAAGAAATGAATACATGAAGCCAGTAATTTAACTGCAGCTCGTTCAATAATTTTTTCAAAGCCACAAAATTCTCCTCTTGAAGTAAAAACCACTGCAAGCCTGATTAAGGGACAAGCACAAACAGCTCCCTCTGTAAATCACTAGGAACGAGGAAATGTTATTCATTCCTCAGCAAAGATAAGAGGACAAACTCACATTTGATACTTATTTTGTAATCAGAAGTAAAACAGGATATTAATCCATTTTCATTATATTACCACCTGTCATAAAATGCATTTCAAAGATGCTGCACCTGAAATACTTCAAGTTATGTGCCTCATTTCTCATACTTTGTATCAAATAAAAGCTTCAAAATACTTTTTCCCTCTGGATCTGCAAATGGAAGTCTACATTTCCAGGATTCAAATAAAGTACGTGGTTGCTCGAACAAACTACTATGCTGCATCATCCCCAATAGCCCCCTTCAAATTAGAAGATTAAGTAATTTGTTAGGAACACAAGTCCACACTCCCTAGAGAAAACTGTAATAGTAACACTGGCACCTTTCTAACCACACCTTTTCCATGGAAGCCACCTCAAGTAAGGAAAACACTCCCCTCACACAACATACACTTTTCAACACCTGACTGACAACATCTATGGTTTTATAATTTCTGTTCCCCAGTAAGGACTTGGGCAACCGAGCTCCAATTTAGCCTTAAAGCAGTAAAACATCTGTGTTCTAAGTAATCTGAATTCTGTGCATTTGAATTCTGAATCACATTTAAAGAGAAATGCTGAATTCTGTGAAATGACTGGCAGCAAGTGGTAATGAGATCTTTTGTACAATACAGCACAGTTAAGTGCTTTCAAGCAGTATGAGACTTCCCTTTAAAATTACTCAACTCAAAAGGAAAGATGTCACCATCTGGAAAAGAATTTCTGCAAAGAAGTCAATTTGTGAAACAGACAATAAAGAGACAAAAGAAGCAAAGAGCTCATTGATTTAGAATCATTCCTTTAATCCCAGTTCCAAGTTAATGTTTTAGGAGTGGCCCTGTTTTAGCTGTGGTCCTCTCTCTTGTCTTGCCCACGCTGAGGGAAATGAGGCAGTACACAGCATCCTGGCTATTTTCACAATCCAGCATGAAAACGTTCATAACCAAATTAAAGGAGGAAATATGCACAACTGACACAATGTGTTTCATAAATACTGAGAATGCAAAGCATGATTTAAACTAACTTGATTTATAAAGAAGTCAAGGTATTAAGCCATCTGGGGAAACTGCCATGGAAGTATTGCTCACATATCCACACCCAGGTATTGCTTCTCTCAGAGTAAATTTCTCCATAAGCCTCATCCTGGAGTTGTGTGTTCAGGAACAGATCACAATAAGCTTTTCATTGTTTGTACAAGTTCCAGTACAGTTTCTGCATACAGAAATCACAAAGCAGAAACTGCTTGTCAATGAATGCTAATCTTACCTGGGACTTTGTCAACAGATGCAAAGACAGAGCGCTGCACTGTTGGGTCACTGCTCCCACGCCGGGACTGGTCATAGAATCTAAATGGAAGGTGCTGGGCTGCAGCTCCAGAGCTGTGTCCAAAACCCATAACTTCAGTTGAAGGCTGAACAGGAAGATCCAGGAGAGCTATGTTTAATCACAATTGATAGTTTTTGTTACTCAAATACATAAAAGGAAGAAGAGTTGACAAGAAAATTGATAGATTGCTCAGAATCTCAAGACTAAACCAGATTTTAATAGAACTTGCCTTCATTTCCCTCTTAATTATGGTTACAAATGCACTGACAAACTAAAGAGCCAATCTTTCTGGCAACCTTTCCTACATTGCTGTCCACACCACATTCACACTAGGGAAACCTCAAAATACAGTGGAAAAGAGCTAAACCTCAGGATACAGAAGTCCCTTGCACTAAAAAGCCATAGGAGTTATTAACAATAAAAAAACCCTTTTGCTTTTCCCTGCACAAATGAAGTAATTCATTAGTTACTGAGCACTAGAGAAAGCCTTTTAAAGAGACAATCTGCTTTAAAATGGAAAATAAATGCCTTTGCATTATATTTAACCTAAAATTTTTAGTATCAAATCAGCTGTAATATCCTCAACTTTGCTTTACATTTTTTTATATGAAGCAAGCCATAAAAGTATGACATATCCACTTCATAAACTCAAAGTTAAATGTGAAACCAAATCTGTTCCTTAGAAACTTAGCCCTGGTTTATAGGTTTCTGTGGCCCACCACCCCTCATTGTGCCTCAGCTTTACATGTATGCAATGACAGCCAAGTCCTGCCTCCCAGAATCATTTCAGGACAGCCATTCACCTGCTATTCTCTGCATTTTGGTGCGCCGAGCCTGGATCCGGCCTTTGGCCAGGCGCTGCTTGGCGATGATGCAGCGAATGTGATCCGCAAAAATAAACGTGGCCTGGAGGATCGGGAAGGGCTTTGAATGAGGGCTTGAGGCAGGCTTGTGAATTATTATGTTCAGGGCTCTGCTATCATCCTCTACTCCGGTCACCTGCATATCCTAAAGAGAAGCAGAAGGCAAGTAGTTTAAGAAAAAGTAAGCTTTTCTAAACCACAGGTTAAATGCTAACATTTAAAAAAAATCCTATGAATGTTCCATTAAAGCTCTTACAAAGAGAGTTTCTGTTAAAAAACCCAACAAAAGAGAACCAAACCAGACTCTGCAAGTTGTAAAAGTTGGATTTTCTTCAGAAATCAGTATTCATAGAGATTGATTTAAATTATTTGAGTATAGCAAATTTTCAGGAAATACAAACAGTGATAGCTAAGGCAAGAAAGAGACAAATGAGAAAAACTTTCTTAGATAAGCACAGATAACTTCAAAATAACAACCTGTCACCTTCTCTACCTGTGTAGGAAAACCAGAACTCTGAGTTCATTAATGTGCTACTTGAGTGAAGTGCTTGGGACACAATCCTAAACAGATGTGACTTCAGTGTTCAAATGAGCACAGCCAAACGTATGTTAAGAAGTTACCCCATCTGCAATTGTGTATCTGGTTACCTACCTAAACTTCAGAAAATCATAAATATTTTAAAAGGCAGGAAGCAAAAAAAAGACTAGTGACTAAAGAAACAAACAAGCATGGTACAGAGCTTAAATATATAAGCTAATATTGGCATTACTGTTTATCCAACATAAAATGAAGATTTTAGGCTCAGAAAAGCTGGCCACCCAAACTACAACTTCCCTTACCTGCAGAAGGCCTGCAAATTTAACTACTCCCCATCCAAGTCTGGCAATATCTGGTTCAACCAAACTCATCTGGTAAATATCCACAGCCAGGAATCTTTGAACTTGACCCCCATCCTTTGTTATGACTGTACAAGCAATCAGATCACTGTTATCTGAAAGAATAAAGGAAAAAAGGTTATGTAACACTGAAGTTGAATGTGGATATTTTCTGGATTGTGTGAGTATTTTACATAACATAAAATGTTGACATATAAAAATGTAATAACCTTGACAACACATGGTTAAAGCTTCTGTTCATATTTTTCACAGGTATTTTAACTTCCCTATCATAGATACATAGAAAGGGCAAAGGAGATTTTAACAATGGTTTTGACACCTTACAAGTTAAATATAAGATGGGTACTATATGTACCTTGCTTTCTCTTACCATCTTCATTACATTTCAGAAAAAATCTCCATTCATCTCAGGGGTGAAACTGCAACAGTCCCAACTTCTCTCACTAAGTGGAAGTCTCAAGAAGTCTTGTTAACAACCACAGCCAGGCCCAACACCACTGCAGGCCATCACTTCTAACTTGTTATAAACTTTAGCTCCTGACACAGGCTACTTTTGTACAGGTCTGAAACCTATGTTGGGCTCTTGGACCCACTTCAGTTTCAAGATTATTTGGACCCTCCAGGTAAACAGTAGCAGTGTTTTGACAGTGTTTGTTAAATGAGCTAATGAGGTGACATTTTTTCCTTTATCCATATATTTAATTCACTTATATTGAACATACATACCCTCTCTTACTCCAGAAACCCCTCCAACAAACCTCAAAATACATTCTCCAGCATTTCCTCACTGTCCCCTTCCAGTTCAATCCCATTATTCAAGAAAAGGGACTAAATCACCCTCTCTACACCAGCTGAAATCTACCAAGCAGCCCTTAAACTGGCAGTGCCAATCCCTAGCAGAGCTCTGCTGACTCTACTAAGAGCTGCTTTTTCCTTTGCTTCATATTGATACTTTCATTCGTATACTTGGTGCACACAGGTCTTTTCCTCCCTCTCATTTAGTACAATTTACAGCAAGTAAAATATTCTGAAAGCTATACAAAACAGTAGCACTTATTTACTCATCCAATCATCTCAACAAACATTTAACACCATTTTCATACTAGAAACATTTGCAGGCTAAGCTACAAGTGTAAGCGTACAGCTCTTCATGGTGACAGGTCATACAGCTGTAGACAACAGCCAAAAATTATGGTCAGCAGGTGGAAGAAATTCTTTTGTGCAGCAGGTTACCCAGAGATGTTGTGGAATTTCAATCACAAGGGTTTTCAAGCTTCAAAAACCAAACCAACTTCCTCTTCCCCAAAAAAACCCCAGAAACACAAGTGAGAGGTCCTTTCCAACTAACATTTCTCTGAATCTAACAATTACCTTCTACCAGCAAGATCCATTCAAAATTGATTGGGTGGCAGGAAAGAAAGGCATGAAATATAGAAGCCTTAATACAACTAAGAGGATAATTATTGCTAACCAGTGTGAATCTACTGTGAGCTTTTGAAATCTGAGAAAACAAGTTTAATCAATAAACACAATACATACAGGACATGATTCAGTTAACGTGAGGATTGATTGCTATTGCCTTCTCCTAGCCCTCAAAGGCTCAAGAAATCCATACAGGATAGGCAAATATTACTATAAGAACCTGTGGAGGATTTATTTCTGTTTAGAGAAGGAGACACCAGGCAGAACTGGATATTTCTTATTTTACTATGTTTTACTTCTTACCTCTTTTATTCTTTAACCAAATTAGTCCATCAATATATTTATTTCAGTTGACTAGAATTCCTGGAGCAGTCCTATTCTTCTCAAGACATGAAGTGCTTGGATTAAGGACTCTTCCAAACACAGTATGTCAGGCTGAAAAATTCTGAGTCTATTGGGAGATTCTCAAAAAACAGGCCACAACATCAAATGGAGTTGTGGAGCTCTCACATAATAGTTTTGGATCAGTATTTACAAAGTTTTCATTGCAACAGCAAGCAGGTTAAAATACTTGCTGTAAAAATTCAACTGTCCAGCTACAAAAATGCTACTTCAAGAACTCAGAGGGCAGAAAGCTTTCCAGAAGAGAAAGTTTTTATTTTAGATCTGACAACACCTTGAAGTAAATCATTACTGTAAGTCTTTCAAAGAACAGAAAGTTACTCATTTACTAGGCAATTGTTACAGGAATCCTTTGAGCTTATACAACTGAATGTACTCCATTTACATGACTGTTTCTAGTTCACAGCTGCTGGAGAGTCATAAACTGTCATCCTTGATGACAAAAACAGAAGAGAAAGTGTGGTTAAACACATTTTCAGTGAACTGATCAAAGAATACTTACAGCTATGGTATGAAACAGCTAGCGATACCTAACCACACTCAGAAGAAAATATCAGGTCCAGTAAACTTCAGTACTATTCAAATTTGGCCTGGGATTACAGTGAACCACAGGCTGAATGGCTTCCTGGTGTGACACTGCTGCAAAGAACTAGAGCGTCCCTTCTAAGATTAACAGCAACGGCTAATTTCTCCTCATGCAAAATGAAGCTTGTAACCAGACACTACACACCCATTGCATGGATCCAAGATGTCTGTGGACTTTGTCCAAGAAAAATCCAAGTTTTAGGAAATACAGCTAAGGAAGAAGAGTTCATAGACCTCAGCTGCTTGCAGTGCTGAAGATGTAAATTAAGTGAAAACAGTTGCCTGTCTTTATGAAAATATTTGCCTGAAAAGATTGTATTGTAAGAAATATTTATGAATATAACAGCTACTTGAGATGGTCTAAATGTACCTGATCTGCTTTAGGGCTTGATCTCTAATGATTTTATAATTTACAGTCATCCCAATTCCAGAAATCATCTGCAGACTTTAAAAGCTCTTACAGAAAACTTTCAGCCCTTTGTATGCACAGCTGGCAGCCCAAGATAAGCATTAGGCTGGAGATAGCGAATGCAGCACCTCCCTCTTCACAGGAAGAGCTCTTCCCAACAGCAGGCAGCCCATCTGGGACTACACTCTGCTTTACTAAGAAAGCAACCAGTCATGAATCCACCTTGTTCCCATGAAGTACATTTAGTTGAAGTTAGAAGATTGTCCCTGGTCATACACCTGCACCACACTTTGGGTTACTCTCTTTGTCACAAATGTAACAAGATGTCCTGGGCACCTCTTCCTAGCTGACTCCAGTTTGAGCAGGGGGGTTAGACTAAATGATCTACTGAAGTTCCTTCCAACCTCAAGTACTCCATCATAAACTTTTATCAAATCTTTTTTAAAAACTGTTGACTGTGATGGCCTTTTAAAGCCTGTATATTTGGCAGAGTGATCAAAGAAATTTAATTATAGTATTACTTTTTTCTGTTTCAGCAAAGAAATAACAGCTTTAAATGTATCCTCATTTATCGCTTGGCCATGGCATTTAAAACATTGCCACTAACAGAATCCTGTTACCACATGAAACCAATCACTGAGGCTGTTAATCTGAGCTGCCAGTGACTTCACTCTGTGAGCTGCTATATAAGCCTGAAAATGCCTCCAGCCTCACAGACAGTCTAAGGCCATTATCACATAATATGTAATTGCTTCAAAACTATTTACAGTAGAAAACCACTGCAAAGTAACAGTAGTTGTGATTCTGGTGACAGCATATCCAGCAGTATGGAATGAACCTTCCGTGGAATTACTTGACTCCTATGTGCTTTATGACAAAATACTGATACTCTCCTGAGTCTCTTGAATGGGCGAAGACTGAAACTGAAAAATACATTTTTATGCTACAATACACAGTAGAACTTCAACACAACTACTTCAGGTAGTTTAAGTAAGAAGAGAAGTAACAAGCAGTTTAGGAGAAAAAAAATGTCAGTAATATTTCCATGTTAGACTATTTAGAAAACTGAGGGGCTACTTACTCAAATCCAGAACATCATCTGCCTTTATCAGATCTCCCTCCCTGGTGAGCGGTAACTGTGTTTCCAGCTCACCTTTCAAGTGCAGTGACAGTGAACGGAGCATAAAGAAAACTCTGATTGCCTGAAGAAATTAAAGAAAAGAATATTAGAATATTTTTACACCCAATACTACATATTTTAACAGAATCTTACAAACATATACTGGCTTTTACAACCCCCAAGTTTGCTGTCCTACAGTAACTTTTTATTACATTTAGAATTAAAATTTTAATACATTTTAAATTGAAAAGTAGAACGTTATTTACAACTTAGTTTAAAAAAAGACATGAAAAGCTGAAACATGCTACTTATTTTCAGTAAAATAGAAGCAGCAGAGCTTTTTTCTCACTGGCACACTTATACAGATTGTGACTGACAGGGAAGCAATTAAAGGAGCTGTTTAAGAAAAAATGATCTTGGAATATTTTTCTTTAATCATTATTTTAAGACTGATTGTATTTGCATCACTTCTATGCTACAGACACCTACACAACCAACCTTCAAGAACTCACATTTTGAACTTTGAACTGAAACAGTAATAACCTTTCTGGCCAAGTCCAGCTAAGATGTTTACAATTTAAGAGAGAAAGAGTGGGGATTTCTGCATTTTAATTTGCTGTGCTCACCAAAACTGGCCACATATAATGTAACATTCTTGGAGCACTTAATTTATATTCTCAGAAAGTCTTCATCAGGGTAAAGCGTTCTGAAAGCTGCAACAGTCCCAAGAAACTTTCAACAGCTCCTGTGTGAAATGAATATGCTATCTTTGGTTTACAAATTCATGACATATGGTATGCAAAGACCCAAAGTGTCAAAGAACAATCATTTTATTAGCCACATTTTGAAAGGCACCATTTATAATCCTCTTTCCCTACAAGAACAGCATTTTTAGTATAGCAAATGAAAAATCATTTTTTATTACTTCCGGTGTTCTGCTTTTTGCGAGTTTCCTACACAGTAATTCTGTGGCATACTGTAAATTAACTGCTGCCTTACAGTAAGAGCATTGAATTCATGAACAGCTGCAGTGCCCACAAACTCCCAGACTGCAGGAAGTATTAGGAAAAACAAATCTGAAGTGCTTGAAGGGAAAACCCTTGACTCCTCCTTTTTAAAATCAACAGAACGGTGGCTCCTGTGAAGCAGAACTGTGAGTGCCTGGCCAGCTCTCTACTGCCAGTGCTTCCAGAAATTTCTGGCAGAACAGGGATGAAGAGAGGGAAGCCATGTATCATGTTCTTCCATGAAATGACCCCAAAGCAATGGCTTTGGTACACCATTGAAATTTAGCAGGGCAATATGATTATGTGGAGCAAAGGACATCAAGGGTATGGAACCAAAATATGATAATAATAGTGTTTAATTAATGAGAATAGAGTCACTTTGGAACGAGACATGATCTCTCCCACTTATGCAGACTGCATTTTAATATTTTGTGTATTTACTGAAATTATACAGGTTTACTATAAAGCAATTTTCCTACCAGGTGCTTCAAGAAGAATTCACAGTACTTGGTTTAAAATTTGCCAAATTCAGTCAAGACCAGGAAAATCTTGGCATTTTTGGTAACCCAAAAGTTAAACCCAACAAGATTTTTTTTTGTTTGTCTTTTTTTAAATTTGGAGGGCAACCATTATTCAGCTTTCACTTATCTCCCCCCTCAAACCTCTTCCTTCTAGATTGCATTAATTTTTATCACATTCATTTCCTATCAAACTAATGGAACTCATCTCCATGTAATCGCATTTAGTGTGGAACAAAGTACAGGAGTAGAAAATAAAATTAGAACTTTAGCCTTTGCAAAAAAAAAAAAAATAAAATTAACAACATCAGATGAAATGGGAATCATGCTGTGCTTCCTACAACACTGACAGCCCTCAGTTTGTTACCAATATCAATGTATTGTTTATAACACATTTTATCAGATCTCAACAAAAGAGTAAGAAAAGTTCTGTGGCCTAGAATTTTATTGACTGACTTTTTGGGTTATTTTTGTTAACATGGAACAAATATGGATTTCTACTTACATTAAAGAATTAGGCATTTTGATGTTGATTTCTTCATTTATGTACACGTTCCATGCACAAAGAAACAGCAATTTGCAAAGAAACCTACTACTATCTTATTACATTCCCACAAAAAAATGTTCTTAGTACTTCGAGAACTTCTCATAAAGTGAGATTTTTGAGAGCTTCTAAAGTTTTTAAAGAGCAGAAAAGCTGCCACTCAGACGGACTTTCTATAGCAAGGAAGTAAGGTCCTAACAGCTAAGAACTCGTAATATAATCAGTTCCCTTGCTAGTGAAATAAAACTTGAGAACTTCTTAAAATCATGTCAGAGCATACTCAGAATCAAATATTTTTGCATTTGAAACCATCATTAGAACCTTAGCAGGTTGAGTGGCAGCAGCAGTGTCACAAGGTACACCTGAGTCCAGCATTTTGCTGTGACAATTCAGCCGAGTGAGGCAGCCTGGCTGGAAGGAAGCAGCACAGGAACTGAGAAGATATTGAAACCTGAGTGCAATGTGACTGGGGTAGGAGAACCAATAAGGAATCATTCTGGGAATTCTTGTTGATGATAGAGACCTTTTCATCCCAAAGGATCTACAGGAATATTTGTATTGATTTTTTTTATTTCCACCAACAGAAGTTAAGCTATTCCTTATATTAGAACATGAAAATCCTGGAACAGGCATTTTCCGCTAATGTGTATTTCTAAGTATCCTTCTGTTAAATGCCTAAGAGAGAATTCCAGGAAGCATTTCTGCTGTCTAAGAATAATACCTTTTAAAATAATTCACTGTATTCTATCAAACAACTTGCTGTGATAATGAAAGCTGTGTGGCTTATAAGCAATGAAAACAAACCTTTTCAGAAGATTCCTGGAAATATGGTTTTTTTTCTTCAAGAGTACTTGACTATACTTGCATAATACACTTATATAAATGCAAAGAAACACAGAGAACAGCACTTTCCAAATAATGATTTTGTGCAGTAACATATCTCTTAGACTTACTGACACTGCAAGGCTTCCAGGACACAGCCAGATAAGGACCAAGAACAGAAATAAGGATGTTGCCATTCAGGTCGGTATCACCTCCACATATTGTGTCAGTCACAAAAATAGATACTTTACTGGTTCTCTCCTCATTCTCAAATTATCACAAATTACCTTGGCAAGATGAACTCTCAAGTCAAATTAAATTTTTGCTATGTCTAGAAATATGAGTAATACAAAGCCAGTCAGTCTTCATGGAAATTCTTACAACAGGAATATAATTAAGAGATAGGACTGAGATAGCAGATCACAAAAGAAGCTGACAATATAGTCACTGTCATCAAAATGCCTTTGTATGTAGCTTTCTGAATGGTCTGAAAAATTTAAACCCCAATGCAAGAATATGTTGCATTGACTAGACACAAGAAATCAGAAGTTTCTCCCCTAGGGCAGGTAATTATTATATGCTCTATACAGACCTGTCTTCATCAAGCTTTTAGGATTCTATGGATGAAGCTTCCAATCAAGCAATTTACAAAGAAAAGTATTTGTATTCCTAGAATTGCTCGATGATTTTGGCATCATTGTCATGAACAAATGTAAGAAAAAGTCTTACTCACTCTTCGTGTTCTTTCCACATCTCCACAAGGCAATCTTTTCACAAAATCAATCCCAGTCAGTGGTGTCCCCGTTGGGGGTAGCAAGATTGAGGCATCCATCATCAAGTATTCTACATTCATAGGTTTCATCTACAAAAGTATTTTAGCACTGGTTACCATACAGAACAATAAGCATTTGCCTCTTTAGTTTCAAATACAACTCATTGCTGTGTATTCTAAAATTTTGAGAATTTTTAACACCGTGTCTTATTTAAAGGTCCGTACATGCAATCTCTCATTGCTCCCAGACACACTGCCAAACTTTTCATACAAATAAAACACAGGAAAAATTCAAGATTACAGAAAAGATATTTCCCAAATACTACCAGGATATGGAGTGAGATGGGACCACTGGGAGACATCTTAAAGCATGATCTCATGAAAGTGTGAGAGCATCTTCACTGTATTCACCAGATGTTTGTGGTCAGTGGACACAAGACCACAGGTTACAAGGTCTTTTAAAGGTTAATTAGCCAATAAGCTTCTCCCACAAAACAATGTTTCTACTTTTACACCAATAGCTAACTCATCAGTCTTTGCTGTAGTGCAGACATTCTTAACCAATCATACAATGGCATAAGAAACTATTTGCTACACCTCAAAATTATTACTTTATAACTACTTCTATATCTTAACTTTTAAAACCTTACAACTTTCCACTACCTATCTTAATGTCTTTTCTATCTAAACTACAAACCCCACACTCTTTACTCATGGTTTCTAAATTCTTCTGGATTTAAAGGCAGAAGCCTTCTCCAAGGTCTCAGGTCAAACCCTTTGTTCATGTCTAAGTCTGCATGCACAGGATTTTGAGGATTTTCTGTGCTTGGAATTCCCATGAAATACTAAAACCCAAATTCTTCCAGGTTTGATTTTAAATTTTGACTTTAAGGAAAAAAAAAAAAGTCCAGTATCCCATTTATTAGGCTGATGCAATTTTTGTATACTCAATTTTGGAAAGTAATGAAAGTTTATTTAATAAAGAGCTGTGAAGTTTCACATAAATAATTTATGTAAGTATAGACATGACTTCTCAGAGACAAAAGCACCACCCACATTTTGTTATCCTACTCCCAGCAATAAAGACCCCAGTGTCATCAGCAGCTATCAGAACTTGTTCTTGTGCTGTATCTGGGTTTGAGGATTTACCAGGGCAAAAGGGGTCTCACTTACTGTCATACTCCGGTATTCATCTTCAAACATATCCAGAAATATTTCTTCTCCCTTCCAAAGGAAAGAATATGGACATCCCATGAAGCCTTGCTGTTTAGGACTCTGTGAGGTTTGGCTCTGTACAGTGTGTCTGTGAAGGGAGGCTGGGGCTGCAGGCCACTGCTGAGCCCCTCAGCAGCACTGCTGGCACCTCTAGAAAAACATATTTTAGAAAGGGAGAGGTTCCCCTGCAGCCCCTGGAGGACCATGGTGAAGCAGGTACCAACACTACAGCAGGCAGGTGTACTCTAAAGGAGCTGCACTCTGCAGGACCCACACTGAAGCAACTGTTGTCCTGAAGGACTGCAGCCCATGGAGGAGGGGACCCACATGGGGCAGGGGAAAGTGTGAAGAGGGAGCAACAGAGAGAAGCTGTTGTGGACTGACACCGAATCCCTACTTCCCATTGCCCCTGCATCACCCACAGGGGGAAAAGGTTGAAGAACAAGGAATGAAGCTGAGCCTGGGAAAAGAGAGAGGTGAGGGACAGCAGTGTTTTAATTTGTCTTTGTTTCTCACTATCTAAATTTACTTTTTTTGGCAATAAAATAATTTCTGTGAAGTTGAGTCTGTTTTGCCCATGACTGTAACTGGCAAGTGACCTCCCTGTTCTTTATCTTGACAAGATATTCTATTCTCCCTCCATCCTGTTGAGGAAGGGCAGTGAGAGAACAGCGGAGTGGACCTCTAGCAGCCAGCCAAGGTCAATCCACCACAAGTTGCTTATTTTCTGTAAGTCACATTAAGCAAACATCCTTCAAGAGAATTTTAAGAAAAACAGGAAGACATTTCAGACACTTGAAATTTGTCATGGATTTACTGCTCCTTATATAGAAGTTAATGCCTAAGGCTAAAAAATTTAATTTCTTTCATTGTTTACAACATGCACACAAAGGTAAAAAGCTGCAAAGGTGTTCAATAAGGGAAAAAAAAATACGTAAAACTTCAGATCATCATTTCTGATATGATACAAACAAAAAGTAATGTCAAACCAAACATATTACATATTAGTGTCAATGATAAACTTGACGTCCAGTACAAACTCTGTGAGCCTTCCAACAGCCCTTTGTGACATATGTCAGGGTGATATGGGAAGGGTGGAAAGGAGAGGAATTCTGCAAGAGAACATTTCCTTCTCTCTCACAGACTTGGAGCTCCCATCTTAAAAAAGGTGCTTCTTTGGTCACTATGTAAAGACTGGGCAGCAGACATTCTCCATCTGTAAAGAATCTTTTTCTTACAGCATTTTGCATATTTACCTTATAGAAACGACGAAGGAGATGAACACTTTCCTCCCTTGCACCCTAGGAAAGAGGTAATGCATTTCAGGGAATATATACACCACTTATTGGTCACATTAAAAAACCCACCCAAAAACTCATGCAGAATAGACTGTCTAATAATATCCTGATCTATGGCCTTAATCCCAGAATTTGATAAAATACAGTTCTTACATCCAAGAAAATGCAGCTTATGTGAGTTTATTATTTGCTATTTCAAAAGCACTTTTCTTTACATTATTAAGACAGCTAACACCCAAGTTTCAGAGAGACAATGAAACAAAGAAACTGCTTGAGAAATTACAATTTAAAATAGCAGAGCTGAGAACAGAACATAGGTTATGATCACAGCTCAGAGCTACCAATGCAAAGATGTTCTAGAAGCTCAAATTTCACATTAAGGCTTATTGCAATCAGAAAGGAAAAAATTTATTCAACTATACTACAAGACTCAAACACCAGTAATGCAGTGATTGGCAGTTTGAAAGAAAATACTCACCTCAAGACAATCAAGGTGAACACTTTTTATGATCCTGCCATTTTTAGAAAACACAAGCTGCTTCAGCAACAGGCAGCCAAGTTCTAAAGTTGCTAAACGAATTTTTCCCTCTGTGAAAATAAAATTTCAACATACAAAATAGCAGCAGTTTAGTTATAGCTCTTCTCATGATCCCATGCTCTTAATGTTTTTACTCTTCCTGCAACTCTCAAACTTTGCTCCTCTGTCACATCCCCCACCTGGACAGGGATGAGTGTTGATGCTGCCTTACAATGTTGATGGCTATAAGGAAAAAGAATTGAAAGAGTAATTTAAAGTAGAAGAAAATTTAAAGCAGAACCATTCCATAAGAAGGTAAAGATTAATACTATAAGAAGGCAAAGATTAATACTATAGAACAGTAAGCACAAACATTGGGTTTTGCTGCCTTTACCAATCTGCAGCACAGGTGGAATTACACTGAAATGACAAAAGGATCTCGGACATTTGGGATGGATGAAGTTACAAGGTGAAAGGAAGCTTTGTACATAGCACATTAATAAGGCATAGCTTTTCTTAGAACAGAAAAGGAGATGCTCTACACAGCATACAGAAGTTGAATAGAAACCCCCGTTTCCACCCTTGCTCAGCACTTCTCTCCCCAGACATGCCTTTACTTAAAAATAAGCACATGCTCATTTGCACTCCTTCCTCCTGCTGTAGGTACAAACTCTTCATACATAAACATGTTTTTCACCGACATCAGCACAAGTTAATATGCTGTAGATCAGTTTTGCAAGTCAAACAAACATTCGATTTTTATTCTAGAAACATTCAAAAATTTGATAGTGTGTCAGTTTCTGGGGAAAGCCAGTTCCACCCATTTAAAATTCTAAGGCAAGCAGTACAAGGAAGAGAGGTGTGGCTTGAACAAAAATAGTATTTTCATGGAATAGGTCATGGAACATTGTAACCCTCATTTAACACACACACACAAAAAAAAGGAAGAGAAAACCCCACATTTTCTATAAAACACTTCAGAACCAAAAATACAATTTGAGTTAAACAAAAGTATAAGAAAATTTGCTACCACCTAGAGGTGACAGACAAAGGACTGCTATGAGCAAAGGACACCATAGTTTTCAAGACTATTTCTCCACTGGAATTATTTCTACAAGCAAAGGTGCCACAGATCATATTTTCAGGATGAAATCCATTAAGGTGAAACCACTCAAAATCTCAATTTTTGTTTATTCCAAAGTGCAGAAGGTAGAAATTAAGACAATAGATCTTTGTATAGTTCTGAGCATAAAAACAACTACTCAGCACAAATCCAAAGTTTCTGGTTCCTCACCAACCAAGAAAAAGCCAATCGCAGTCTTTCACAAACCATATCTACAGACTGCTCATCAAAGAGCAAGATGAACAGTCACCTTCCCCTCAGAGACAAGGGGTTATGTAGCTTTTTTCCATCTTCAAAAATTTCACCTTGGAAGGAAAACTAAACCCTGGAAAAGCAATAATACCTGGTTGTGCAGCATAATTCATTATCCTGATGAGCCTTTCTGCAAGGACATGATTATATGAATTTCTCTCTTCAGCATGTTGAGCTGGAAGCTGAATTCTCTCCAGCTTGACTGAGTCAAGTCCTTTCATGGGGGTGAAGGACAAAAAAGGCAAATTAGAAAACAGGAGTGTGCTCCAAGGCAAACATTTAATAGACCACAGCAGCTTTCTCAGAAGAGAACAATTAGCAATAGGAAACTAGGCAAGATAGCTTTGACTTTGTATTACAAGGAAAAGAAGGAACAACAAAGACCAAACAATATTGATGAATCCCTGGAAATTCTCAGCCCTAAATGGGGCCTACTGGGTGAAGACACATCCCGAAGTGGTTGGTGAAATGCAAATTATTTTGAAGCTTCTGAAATTCTCAGATTATCTGTTTGCATCTAAATCAAATCAAAGTCAAGCCGTACATCTGGAGAGCATAATGACTAAAGGGGAGAAGATCAAAGTCTGATTTTAAATTCTACTTTGGTGGTTAACTAATCTGTTCATATATGATTAAAAGAAATGGGAATTTTATTTTGTAGTAGCCCCATTTAGTATCCTCCCCAACACAAATAAAATGTTCACTGACTTGTTATATAAGGAAACTAATCCCATCTTTCTTCATAATAGTCCTCTAAAATATCAAAGTTATTTCTCAGAAAAGACTGGTTTGCTGGGAGACCTCTTCGAACAATACATAATTATGGACTGTGGGGATCTGCTTCCCATTCTAAAGGACAGCAATAAACAAACCCCATAAACCAGAAGATGACTATTGAGTTTACAGTTTCCTCCAACCCTGGCCTTGCAGTTAACTCTACATAACAGCTCTTACCTTTGTTGTGTGACATGGCATATAAAAGACAAAGCACAAAGAGGGCATAGTAATCATCTTCAGGACAGTCCAGTGCATTATAGACCATATCAAGAAAAGGCCTGTAGAAAGGAGTAATTTAGAAAGTGTTTAAAAAAAATCTATAGAAAAATGGGTAACTATCTCATTGTACATATAGCTAATGGAAGAGGCAGTTTTATTTACAGTAATGCACATTTTCGGGCACTATAACGAGAGTTTCTTATAGAGTTTCTTGCAGAGTACTCAATTACAGCCATGCTTTGTATTCATATACTGACAATAATTCTGAGTTTTAACAGGACTTATTATGTAATACTTTCACAATAATTGATTGTTTGTACTGGGTTGTTTGTAGCCTGTTTAATAAGTATACAGAAGCATTTCAGAGCTTGTTTTAAGTGCATATGTAAGCAAATTTAAGGAGCTGTTATCACTGTTGTATAAAACAGACTCCTTTAAAACTCATGCGCTAAGTAGAGTTGAAAAGTTCTTACTATTACAAGTAAGCATTTTTACCAGAATTTTAGAGGAAGTTAGGTTCTAGAACACCAATTCTATTGTCCAACAGCTATAGAAAAGAAAAATTAATTAGGAGGGAATATCTGAAGAGAAAAAAAAAACTATGGATTGCAGATAAGCTTTGTTTTCCTGAGTTTAAACAGTGTGACCTATGACACATACAGGAGGTTACAAACAGTGTTAAGTTCACCTTTTCTTTACCTGTACCTTGGAAAGACAACAAAAGTCAGTGTAATCCAGAAGGCATTTGGACAGATCAGATATAGCTGAGATTCAGCTGGTATTAGAACAGACCTGATGGCAAGGCAGCTTCAACTTCTGGTCTTAAGCTGGCTTGCATTCAGTCAGTTGTTCAAGTTCAGAGCACAAGCAAAAACCAAATATATTTTCACAACTGCCCCTGATAAATTGTATGGTGGGGAAGTGTCACAGCCATCAGAGGACAACAGTGTAAAGGGTTTATTCCCATATTTTAAACTATGCTTTAACAGTGAAAGGAAAAATATTCTTTATCATCTAAATTACATTAAAAGAAAATACATAAAAGTAACATCAAAGTCACAGAAGCAAACACCTTTTACTGTATTCAGGTCTAGCAGTAGAGAAGCAGGCTCTACAAACTCACTGCTGGGGTTCCTGGGGGTCAGAAGGGCTGTCAGAGCTCAGAACACACCACACTTCAATCCCCGCTCCAGACCTGTGGCGCCCTCATGGTCACACCGAGCGTGTCCCAGGAAAGCCACAGTGCCCAAGGCATAACAATGCACTGGAACTTCCTGGCAGCTCCAGGCACATTTGAGCAGAGTGTTCACTCTTACTGAAAGTGGGCAGTGACCAGAATCCCAGCCCACGCTGTTCCCGGCTCAGCTCATGCCACAGTGCACGTCTGTGCATTTCTGAGCCTGGATTACATGGCTCCTCTACCAGAAATGCCACTGACAGCGATCCCTCTTTGCTTAAGTCCAACACTGCTCCAAGTGCTTAAGTCCAATTATTTACATATTGTAGAACACAAAATAATGTAACTACTCAAGGAAAAACAACCTAAAGAATTAGCAATGTTGAAAACAAGTTAAGAAGGCCTTCAGGTTTCCTAAGCATTAAACAAGCCCTACAAGTGTCACCCTCAGATGGGGGCTTTTCACTCCATAAAATGAGCTCAGCTCCAAGGTCTAAAGAACAAAGAGGACCAAGATATTAAAATATTTAATATCTTGGTTTTCAGACCAAAAGCAGACAGTAAACAACCTAAACCTTAGCCTGTAATATAAAAGCACTATTTAATATAATCTCATTAAAGCCAATGTTTTACCAGGTCAAAGCTGCTGAGGTATCACAGTAGTTGTTCCATTAACACCAATATTACGTAGTATTAAATGACTTCTGTGATGTCTAATGCATTTTTCATTGTTTTCCCCCACATACTAATTAGATTCATGAAATTACAAAACTTGAAAAAAATCATTACAGCAGCAAGATGTACCATTTTCATTCCAGATGCTTCTTCAGAGCATCTATCGGCATTATCTGTCTCGGCCACAATAACCTGAGGCTGAAACAACTTCCAAGAATCCCCCTCACCAATGTCCCTCATTTAGACTAAATACACAACAGACCCAGGAAATCTTCAGCCTAAGAAAATAGCAACAGAAGCCACAACACAGCATGAAGATTTGCCACACTTTGGAAAAAAGCTTTGCTGCACAGCATTTCATAAAATGAAGCTAATTTAAAACATGTCTTTAAGCTTAAACTTTCCAGTATCAAGGCCTATCAAAATAAAATTACACCTAAAATACTTAAGCTTCTTATTTTGTTTTTCACAGTAGGAAAAGGGCTAAGGGAAATTAAAAGCTTGACTTAGCTACTACAGCTGCAGATTTTTAACTGCCATCTGTGCTGTTTACCATTTATTTTTCAGCTAATACTGGACTGTTTTAAAAAAAAAATCCCCACTTCTCATAGTAAAGGCTATACGGTAAGTATTTTCAAATCTATTTCTTAACTCTGGAGGCATTTTCTTCCTCTATTAGTCTTTTACTAAGGGCTTGATAAAAGCAGCAGATCAAATGAGATACAGGTGTTCCTCAAATCATTTATTCTTGTCCACAACTGAAGACTGCAACACACTTGGAGCCACTGTCACCACAAGCATTAATGATTATTCCGAGTGTGGAAGCTTCAGTTCCAGCATGGCAGAGAGCACTGCATTTTCCACTTTCAGGTGCCTTATCCACAAGGCTCAGTGATTCCAACCAGTGCAGGACAGAAACTATACATACTGGAGGAAGTCTCTTGAGAAATTTAGCTGCTGTTTCAAACACTATACTTGGCATATAATATAACATAGTATCTTAAGCTACAGCAACTAATCCACTGATACTTAAAAAAAAAAAAAATCCCATATAAAACAAAGGCCAGAATTGTCCTATCCAAGGCATATCCTTATTTTAAAACTGTTTTTAGCTCTGCACATTCTTTGATGTCGCTTTTTAGAAAAGATGCAGAATGCTGTGAAACCACATCTGCAGATCAAGAGAGGCTTGAACTGCAGACATTTTCCAACTGCACTGGCAGCTCACTTCTAAGCATTCTGCACTGTTCAAGACCCAAGCATCCCAGTCACTTTAGTATTCCATGCACTCACTGCCAATTTCTTTCTAAAAGCCATTTGGCACATATTTTAGTCAAATTATCAATAATCTAGAACAATGTGTTTTAAAGCCAGTTCAAGTCAAGGTTTAATTTCACTTTTACAATGAAATTAAATGTTATCTTTATTAATGAATGTACTCTAAACTACAAAGCTATAACGGAGACAGAATGAGATTCTGGGAATACCAGGCAGCACTTCCCAAATTTAAAAATAAATTTTAAATCCTATCAAACATGTGCATTTTCCCAATAGACACATTTGCAATTACTTTTGTGTCGGGCACATTTGGTTTCTTAACATTCTATTAACAGTAATGCAAAATCCCTAGTGAGAAGGTGTCTTAGGGATAGCAAATATATCCAAGCTTAAACTTTGAAGTCAGGGCAGTTTCTGCTCCCAGAAACACTTATAAACTGTATTTCCAGTAGAAGTTTCCAATAACCCTAAAACATATTAATGGCCCCTGAAAATGGTATAAAGGTTACAAGGGTTTACCTGTAACTATTGCTACTTCAATTCTGCCAAACTCAGCCCTGGACTGACAAATTTTCCTTGTTTTTTTTTCCTTATAGGTGCATACAAAATGGATAAATGCAACCATAAATATAATTAATAAAACTTCTATCTTAATTTAAGGGTTTAAGAAATTTCAGGACAGAAATATTTATATTCTATTTCTGTTGTGTTAATATTCTGTAATTTAATGTTACCAAGTTGATGCATCACAACTGCTATAAAGAAAAGCACAAACTACAAAGGAATAGGATCATTTCCAAAACTGAGCAGCAGAGAGGCTACACATCACTTTTGTATTGATTCACTCACTTGTGATAGAGAAAAAAACCTGTAATTTTAACTTGAAGCAGATTTGAAGCATCCCTTTAAGAAAAGCAAAAGATTTAAGGGGAGGGTAGGTAAGGAAGCAATTCAGCAAAATCTTTTACAGTTCCTTTATACCTGTTCCAGTTTGTTATATCACTTCCAGAAGCAGCTGCACTCTTTTCTTCATCGGTTGTATTCTGTTCTGTCACAGCAGAGATAGACAGCTCTGACAGCTTACATCTCTCCATGATTACCATCTCTATTTCTAAAAAAACCAAAACATACCATCAAAACTTGATATTTTAAATAAAGTTAACACAAGTGTTTCTGTATTTTCTGTTTGGTATTAAAAATATAAGACAAAAGTCATAGTCCCATGTTTACTTAGTGCAGCAACAGAACAAGTCAGGTAACAAATCACAACTAGAACCATTAGTAAACAAAAGGACCTAAATTGCAAGGACCATTTCTTGCTGGAATACTCACCTTCATTTTCAGTGCTTGTTCTTACACCCTTTGAACTTGCTTCTGTACTTTTACTTTTATCAAGGTCATCTTGGTTATCTTCAGATCCTCTCTCCTCTTCCTCTTCTTCACCAACATTTTTATAGTTGGGTCTTTTCTGCATCCTTTTCTTCCCTTTCTGTTTGTTAATTTCAAGAGACCTCTCAAGTGTTTCTGTGGGTTTTATGAAACATCTGATACTTGACTTTGCCTGCAAATTTGAAGAATTTACGCTGAGTTACAGCAAGGCATTTTTAACTGTAATTGATAAAGAAACTTCAGTTCACATAAAATGTAAATTAGCACACTATTCATGAATCTCAAATCCATTTTAAAATACAAAAAATTAGTACCAAATCATCAGCAGTACAATTTTCTCCAAAGCAATGTACCCCAAAGATCTATCATTAAAAACTAGGCCTCGTTGACACAAGAGGATGCAGACTCTATTTCATCACTACAAGTTTTCAACTGTCTTCCCTTTCTTTGAAGGGGTGAGAGATAGTACACAAAATTCAGACACCTTTTGTAAAAAGGAGGAAGGCAGCAAAATCCTTCATGTGTGTTGACAGCAGTGTATTAATATGAAACACACCCTTTTGAAAAGTGCAAGGACCTTTTTAAAGCAGCGAGGACAAAATCCAAAGCTCTGTGCTGTGAGATTTTGGGTTGATTTGCTTTTTTTTTTGGAGTCTTATGCTTCCCTCAACATCAAACTAATTTGTGCATCAACTAGGAACAAATCCATTGTCATTTTGGGCCTCCAGACATTGACTTAGCATGTCTGAAAAACACAACTTCATTTGTTAGACTTAATTTACTTCTGTTTTACCCAAAGTTATCACAGGATAAGATGGCAAACCAACACCTCATTTTCCTGAATATTAATTTATTGAGCAAGAAAAATTTAGATGACAAATTTCTCCCAGAAGAAATGAAGTATTTTCAAGAATGTGTCATCCTAACAACACAGAACAATGGATTCTTATAGAAAGTGACCAAGACACAACAAGAAGCTCTGCAAATAAAAGGAGTAACAAGCTTGGTTTTTCACAATGTTGCAGCTTGTTTCTGAGCTGTGTTGTTTAAGCTCCTCTCTCCCTGGCTAGGCCTGGCAGCTGATCACCGGAGTACAACATAAACACTGATGAACCAAACCTCTCTGTTACTGAGCACATGGTTTGGTGCTTTCTGCCAGGTTTACACTAAACAAGACGTATACAGAAACCCCATTACCTTCCAGAGCTCAGTACTTCAACCACATTTGGCTGACACTGCCTAAAGGTTTAAAAATTTAAGGGCAAGCAAGAGAAAAGAACTAAGACTAGATTAAATACCAAATTGATTACATTCTTTGCCTTAGGTGACTCAGTACAATAAGCACTCAAGGTGACTGCACCAAAGAACCTTCAGGGCAAAAGTCTGAAAAAATCCTTCCCTTCACCGAGTTAGCAACATCTATACATAAAAACAAGATTAGGAAAAGATCAGGGAAGAAGCTGTCTACAAAGTTAGAAGGCCAAAATGATTCTCTGAATCTTCTGACATTTTTCAAACATTTTATAGAAATATTGTGTAAGTGACTTTTTGCTTGGGACTGAAACAAGCCACATAGTGGGAAGAGTATTTTACAATACCAAAAAAACCCCACAATGTGAAATTTACTACACTTATATCTCCCATTAACCTCTCTGATGCATTTTTTTTGTGTGATCTAACTGCAACACAGGAAGGTTAGAAAATGACCAGCTTACCTTTATTGATGGCTTTTGGTCAGAAAAGTCATAAGAAAAGGGAAGAGCACCTTAAGTCTTATTATTTAGGGGGAAAACAGAAAAGTAGCATGCAAGTTTCATAATGCATTTTCCCCTTTCTGCATTCACTTCTTACTTCTGCATTGCTTCCTAGAACCTTGTAGCTACTTCTTTATGGAGAAGGCATGTACTTAACATCCTTTTATATCTCATATGCAAAGAGAGCAGTAAACACTGATGTGCTTGTAAACACTGAGCCATGGTCTGCTCCAAGAAGGAATGCTGTAGAAAAAACCCTACACAAATATTCTCTTCTGCTAAAGGCAACAAGGCTACATAATTAAAACATTCTAAAATCAGACTTAAAATTCATTTACATAGCATTTGGTTTATTCTACAAAATGATTATACAGCTTGAGGTACTGCTAGTTTATACCTTTAAAATGCCTTTCAACCACATTTTCAATAATGGTTTAATCTTGTGCAATGTGTGATGGTAAAATAAGGCAATACCAGTAACACCCTTTACGGGAAGGAGAAAGTAGGTTAAAGAAAAAACATGCACTAGGCATAACTGGCCCACATCTGAAAGATGCAGGAAAACAGATATCACAGGAAGTAAGGTAAACCTTAGTGTGATATCTGACAAGTTTAAATACATTCTGTTGCCTACACATATTCAACTCTCATTGTGAGATAAGGGTTTGTATTTCTTCTGATGATGCATAAAACCAGAAAGACAGGGAAAAAATAAAGAATGATGTTGAGAACTTGTTCAATGGAGCTTAGGCAGTTACTACTGCCCAGTGATGTTCAGCAGATCTCCATGGGTAGGTTACTGCCATTTCATAAGATATTGGCAGTTACAACTGCTGGTCATTTTTTCCAAAAATTTATTTCCAGTAAACAGTATCACCTGTTCCTGTTGTGACAACTACCACTGCTCTTTGCCCTAAATAACTCGGGGTATTTTGCATTTATACACAGCAACTAAGACCCTTCCCAGCTTTTGTTTTTGTTAAGTGTTCTTTACTCAGTGTCCCAGCAAGAGGACACAAGACCGCATCTAGTAATCTCAGTCCTTACTCTATACCTTATTTCATCTTAATCTATCTTATTAGAAAGATGAATATAGATAAGAGGTTCTACTTACTTACGTCTGGGTTTAGAAATTATCTGCTAATTAGAAACTGGCAGTTACATTTCAACTTAAACATAACAAGACATCTCAGTTACAACAGATGAGCAGTGTTATGTACAGAGCAAGGGTTTAGAAATAGCTGCAGTTAACCACAATAGACAGATATCCCTAAAACAAGCTTAGTACAGTATCAGAATGGTTATCATAACAAATTAGAACAGAAAGGAAGTAGTAAATGATAAATTTGGGTCTGATGTAAGAAAAAAAACCAATTCTATGTTCAGACTGAAAGTAAATTAAAAAATTTGCTCACCATTTCTCTTTAAAAATTCTAAACTAACTTCTGAAGTAGGTTTTAGTATTCAATAGAAGTTTGCAATTTCTTTGCAACAGAAAACACCACAGCAACAACTCAGAAATGATCCTCATTCCCCTCACAGTCCAGGGAACAGCCCCTGGGAATGGCTAACAATGCTCAAAAAAATCAACTTGCCACTCTATGAATTCCCACCACAGAGCAACAAGAAATTGCCTCACTTTACATGACTGTGCCTTCATTTGTACAGCTGACTTGAGCCTGCCTGCACCGAGTTGTGTATTAGCAGGGAAGCCCAAGTAAAGCCTGCAGTTGTTGCCACCAAACCCTGCAGAGCAGCTCCCTCCATGGCTCCCCTCTCAGGCAGCTGGGCACAGAGCTCTTCTGAACATTGCACTCCCCTCCTTCTGCCCATAACCAATCTCCACCACTGGGCTTCTGACAGTGTAGGCTTTCCTCTCCATGGTTTCATTCAACAATATTGATGAAGCTACTAAAAATTAAAGCTTCTCCCATGGAAGTTTTTCCCTTGACCCACTGCTCTGCACTCCTGGAACACAGCTCCACCTCTGACAGCTTCTCTAAGGGTCTGCTGCAGAAGGCCAATACCCCTCCTATTTAGTACCTGTCCAGGTACAACAGAACCCCCAAGCTTACATGTTAAGAGAACACATATTTAAGGCCAGTAAGGAGCTGTAACCTAAACAAGTATTACTTGTTTACAAGTATTAAGTATTACAAACTTAAGAGTTTATAGGAAACCCATAATATTCCTAACATGTGCAAGCACACAAACACATGCTATAGGTATTTTGTAATTCTGTATAGTAACCATGACAGGAAAAGAAAAATCTCACTTCTGTAACAAATGGTACTCCACCCTCTTGCCACAAATTTCCTAGTAACAAAGCTTCTTTTGCACAGGTAACACACAACATTCAGTATGCAGCTAGCAGAACACCAAACATTTCCTAACATAGGTAAAATATTGCTTTATGCTAAAGAATTTAGTCAACTTTACTATTCTACCATAGTTTTTTCTAAAAAAGGTTAGATTCTAAATACCAAGGTCAACAGAACAAAACACCAGAACCCGAAAGCTACTGGCTAAGATCAGTCCACACAGCTTCCAATGCCCAGTGGAAATAAATCTGGAAAAGTTGATGTGTCTCAGAGGAGTTGAAATGTATTTCCCCCCTTGAAACTCCCAGAGCTATAGCCACTACTAGGAAAGAAAGTACATGAGAACCAATCTATTGCTTGCTATAAATTTAACATTCAGTCACCAACTGCTAGCCAGTCAGTCAAGAGGGGATATGGTCAATTTTTACACAGAACTACAGCCAGAGGCCTGTTACAATAAAGTTATGCCCCCCTACTTGCTACCATCCCCAAAGTAGGCTTTTAAAAGGTAACAAGTAAGCATTACACAAACTGTGAAAGCCACAACAAAAGGGAAAATATTATAAACATGACACCTAGGAAACCAGTAACAACAGCATCAGCATCTAGCAACATCTACCCAAGGTTAAACGTGAAGGTAAAAGGGCAATGACAGAGTGACATGCTCCCCTCTCTCTGTGGTACCTCCTCACATGCTCACTGACGCACAAGTCAGTGTGACCAGAGATGATCAGTTCTACTGTTAAAACACTGTGAATATTCAAATGAAAATCTTAAGCCAAGTATTTTTTTAAGTCTCTCATTTCAACTACAAGTTGCACAAGGAAATTTCACAGGAAAGTTTTGCTGAATCACTTTCATTTCACTACCAAAGGGCAGATAAAAACTGAACACAGAAGACTGGATTATAGAAGTGTCCCATCAAAATGATGATCCAACAACAAAAGCTGAAGTCTGCTGCTGCTCTCCTCTCCTAAACAAACACCTTGGCTTAGCAGTTTCTAGATACCTCATTTTATTTTTCAAATATTTTCTTTGCCTTAAAAAGAAATTAGAGACAGTTGGCCACTTACTGAGTTTTTCTGTATATCTTGCTCAACCTTAGAAGAAAACACTGAGAGGTCCCCATTGAGAATAACCTCAGCCAAGGAGTTCACCAATGGAGCATAATGTATAATCAGAAAAACCTATTAAAAGAAGAGCAGAAAAAAAGATCAGACATATTTACAGAATACATAGTTTCACAATTTCACTAGCTGAACATACTTTTGACCTTGTTAAGTGCTATCTTTAGTTTACATGTAAGTACAGCTGGTAACACTGAGAACTCATTAAATCTTCTTTAAAACACAGGAGACACTGGTATCTAACTTTCCCTACCTTTGAAGCTACCTAGTTTTACTAATTCTTCATGTTCCTTCCTCCTTCTGAGAAGTGTATATTCTCTCTCTTCAATACCTTTGAAAGGAAAGTTGTGTGATATTATAGCAAGGAACTCATTAAAACCATTCCAAAAATTAATTTTTTTAGAAACAACCAACTGATTACAGTGCACAGTATCCCCAGTCCTGTGTGCCAGCAACTGGCCACACTCTAGCAAGTATTGTGCACACAATCACTGTGCAGTGATTCATGACTAAAGGCCATGCTGAGCTGAGCTGGATCAGAAGCAGCTTTTCTGGCTCTGAAATTGCAGCAAATCAGTGTCAGCTACACAGTGGCTACAGAACACAGGAGTAAGTACCACAATGCCTGGAGCACTGAAGCATTTGAGCACAAGTGCTATGGTACTTTATTAGTTCTCTGCTTATACTACTACTCCATTTTAAGCCAAGGCTTACAAGTCTGGGCCAGCAAACACGTGGCTCCCGGACAGAACCAGCCCAGGCCCAGCTGCAACAGCCTTCTGTCAGCTTATATCCATTCTCTTCTCAGGAATATCAAGGCTGGGTGCCTTATCAGTGGCTCTAGCTGTAAAATTACCAAATAATTTCTGAGTCATTAAATCTAATCACTGCTTTGACAATATTTAGCTAAATGTTCTCCACAGGTTTTCAGATTAAAGTCAGAAGCATTCCAGACCTCCAAAAGGGAAGTGATTATTAGCATGTAGTGGTGATCTGTATAAAACTTTGAAGTCACAAAACACTTCAAAAGTGCTTTGAACAATCTCCAAATCACTCGAGCTTCTGCCAGTTCAGCAAGCGTTGCTTGACTGTCCACAGGCCTGTCTAAGAACAGCACATCTTCCCTTTGTAACAGTGGCTGAGAAATCCCAGCAGTGCATTTTCAGGTGCCAGCATAAGTCTCTCAAGCACTTGTCTCTAATATAAGAGTAGTGCCTAGAGCATATGTCTGTTGTCAGGAACAGAAACAGTCAGCAAGGTTTGGCAGACCCCACCCTGCCACAGACAAACTCCAGGTTAAAAGAGGTGGGAAAAAATGTTTCTCTGCCAGTCACAGAATCAGTCCCTTCATTTTCTATATCACATCCCATTCTGATACAAAATTTGTTCTCAGCTCTTTATGACTACTTCCATTTCCTTCTTTAAAGAGAATGAAGAACATATATACAAATCCTGAAGTGATACCTAGTTGATAATTCCACTGAAAGCAAAGACTTTAAAAGAGGTCACCTTATACAACTGTATGATGCAGATCCCTCTGGTCACAAGAAGCTGCTGCTCCCACAGTTTTATCTGTGGTAAATAATCCTCACACCACAACAATTTGTTAGGTTTAAATTAAAAAGCATCGAATTATATTTCCCTAGGAAAAAAACTCCAACCCCATATTTCCAGCAAAAAGATGAAATTATGGGCCAGATCATAATAAAATGAATGTTGAAAAACTCTAAGTTCAAAGAAAAAGAAGTATAAATTCTATGAACACAAGTCAAAACTATTTTCAGACAATGTAATTTAAGAAAACCAGTCTCATAGCAATGTCGGGAAGATTATCAGGAGAACAGATGCATTTTCTCTACAAAACAGAAAAAGTCTACTGTAAAACTCCTAATTTGAAAATAAGTTCCAGAAAGAAAAGGAGGTGGAACTGATACAAGTAAGAAATAAGTACTTAATTACAGATTCAAGCTATAGGCATAAGGAAATTCATATTGTGAGAAAGTGATATTTTGGTAGTGGTGGTTTTTGGGGTTTGGGTTTTCAAAGAGAAAAATTCAAACCTGAAATTTTCCATAGCTTAAGTAGATTCAAAATGCAATACAGCATTTAGGTAGATTTCATCTGCTATGGTACCAAGTTGTGTCCCAGCATGTTGCATGACTATTATACTTTATTTGTCAGGGTGTGCAAGCCGTTTATGAACATGCAATGCTTTAAATGTTACCCTGTGCAGTGGGATCCTCAGAAAAATGACAATTCGAAACAGAAGATACTTTGTCTGCCAAAAATGTTTCACTTTCTTTTTCTTAATGGAAACTGAAAGGTTAAAAATGTGTTTTGACAAATTTTCTTTTATGGCTTTGCCAAAATGATGAAAATACTATTTTATAATCACAACAGTACTGCAAAATTTGTTCTGAAACAGGACAAATACTTAACATACTTACTTGAGAAAGAAGATAGAGAGAAACCTGGAGACTTATTTTTGGACGCTCTCCACCCTACAAAAAAAGTTATGAAAAATGCTTATTTATTTATACCAAGAATTTATATGGCTTAATGTTTCATTTAAAACAAAAGTTGCGTTGTTTCACATTCTGCTACAAAATATTCAGAAAGCATCATGCTTTTTAACATTCATTACTTGTAAACGATTTGAAATGGAGACTCTCTGAATAAGCATACCCCTCACTCTTCCTTGGCTAAAAAACTGAAATTAATCCCTTTGGTAACTTAAACAGGTAAGCATCTGAGAAGTACACTGCTTTTCAATATGCTGCTATTCGTTAAAAAAATTCTTCTCAGTTAACACTCATTAAAGACTGCTCTTAAAATTAGCTATTCAGATAGCATGAACTATTACCTACAAAAGCAAGAACCTGTGCAGGTTTAAAAAAATAGTTTCTACTTCACTCAAAACCAGTTTTACACTTAATTTAAAGGCTATACTTTAACAATAAATCCAGCTATATCACATTAAAACGCAGCTTCTCTACAAATAGAAGAAATGAGTATCAAACCCAAAAATCTGTATTTTCTACCTGGACAGATTTTTAGATCATGGCAAATTCGCTTTTTCTGCTTTTGCCAGAAGACAAGCTACCTTAACAGAAAAGGAAATCACACATCTCCCAGTGTCACAGAAATTTAAACCCTGTACCAAATTTGCAGTTCTTCTTGGTATCCACTATTGTGAGCTTTTAACCACCATGCCACCCAAAACAGCATTTCTTAAAATAAAACTTAATCTGCTGTGCTCTTGAATTCCATCTCAGGGTACTTCCTCTACAGCCACCTTATTTAAGCTGTTTTATGTAAACCACACATAGATATTGTGAATATCATATACCTACTGCCCAAATTACTTGGCACACTGAAAGCAAAGCAGCACCTTTGAGAATTAACTGTTTGCAGGCATTAGCTTACCTTGTCTTGATTTACTAATGAGTACACGTAGAGGGGAAGAAAGAGCCTATTAAGTAGGTGGTCTGTCAGCACATCATTTAAAAATTCACAATTAATGATAAGGATATCATTAAGGTAATGCAAATGATCAAGATGTTCTGCTACCAGGTCACTCAGTTTGCCCCTATTTCTGTGCCTGAAAAGAGAGCAGAAACAAAAAAACATACGCGATTAATTGTGGGAAGTCTTAAAAACTTAGGGAAAAAATTTATGGGCATCCCTGCCACAGATTACCTAGCTCAAGTAGACTGCCCAAAGCAGATGTTTCAGTGAAGACAACTAATGCAACTATTAAACAGTTGCCTGTATTTTCTATAGGATGCACATATCAAGATTTTCCTCAAAGTTTTCACAAGACCTGTTTTTACAAAGCTTTGCTTTCAATTGCCAGTCTTTTCACAAGCCAACTACAAAAATGAGAAGATTTTTTTTCCAAATTTGAAAGAAGAATTCAGTGTTGTATTTAACACCTACCCCTTCACTTTAGGAAAGCAAGAAACATATGCCCACTCTAAGGTGGGGGTGGCAAGACAAACCAAGAACAACCTGAATCAACAAAGTATTTCTGTATTTGATAGTGGAATATTACACTGCCATGTCAGGTCTGACAGTTCATAATTCAAGTTCATCTTTCTAGTTTAACTCTTTTTCCTAGAATCTTTCTAGAAAGCTCTTCTAATGAGATGACACAGAAAAAGAATGTTAGAAAGACAAAGTTTATACGACTGAGAAGCACAATTTCTTGTTGTGCCTTCTGGATATCAGCTATTTTTAGCAGAACAAAACAAAGATAAAGAAAAGGCTTGCTGCAAAAACTGATTTACTTGTAGAGGATCAGCACAGATCAGGCACACAGCATTGTTACCTTGAAGAATCAAAAAAAAGCTTTAAAGAGTGAAAAGTCTGACCCGTCTGTAAGTCTGACAGTCTATGAACTGTCTATAACATATCTAGAAACTAACTTAACTGAACTACTAAAGACAAAATAAGGACACCATTGACATCTGGGAAAAGCATTTCCATTCAATAGGCAGCACTTGTAAAAGCTTACTCTTCATCAGTCTGCACGCAGTTATCCAGTTCTATCACGTGGCTTCCAATAAACCAGACAAGGTTGGAGAAATAAGGAACTGCAGTTTTATCTCGAATGTAATGCAGCATAGGCTGGTTGTCCACTGAAGAGAAATCATTAAAAAGAAAAATTAGTTGCCAATATTTTTTATTGTTTTTTTAAGAAATACAACAAAATATCTTCTGAATGAATTCATGCTAGTTTTCCATACAAATATACACCTGACACAATCTTAGGCATGAAATGGAAATCTATAAAAATGTCACATCAGTTCTTAGCTGGCTTGAATGAGCCTAATGTTGATATATTTACAGATGTCTGAAAATAAACAAATCTAGTGGAATTCAGAAAAGTTATTTTAGCACATTATTAAAAAGAAGAGAGAAGTGCAAGAATAAAGCAGTAATGCTGAGAGTCAAGCTAGTTAGACTTACATGACACTGCATTAAGGAACACAGGAATCACCAGTGAAGGAAGGGCAAAAGAAACAGACAACAGTTAACAGGATTAGGAACTGGGATAGTGACATCCTCTAAAAGGGTTTAAAATGCTAAAGCACAAAGCATCTAAACTAAAACATACAGGGTAGGTGTTAGAGCAGAATATATGCAGACAGGTGGTCAGAAAATTATCAAACCTGAACATCTGAGCTCTGCCTTTTCAGCTCTAATCATTAAATCACTACAACATTCAATGAAAATTCTAGAGGAGCAAATTTTTTTCATAAAAATACTTAGTTGCATAAATATATCACAAATAGGATATGAAGCCTACAGTCTGCTCTCTTTTGTGAGCTCATATTTGCATTTACAGTTCCTTGAAGTAGAAGGCAAGTACCAAGTGCCAATTTCTCAACATACAAGAAGAAAAGTGTTGCAGCCAACACTGTAGACCCTATTTGCTATGCAGGGTATCCAGTCATTTGCAAAGCAAACTCCTCATTGTTTTAAAAAGACCTCATATTCCTCTATAGACTGTGAAAACCACTTCTCTTATTTGACAGAAAGTTGTGTAAATTCAACATGTAATTTAACTTAAAATAGACTAAAGAACAAGAAGCCCTTCATGAACATATTGCATAATACGTATTCCCTTACGCCATGCTGATTTCAGAGGCAGAAGTTCAGAATAAACAACTTTTTTTTTTTTTTTTTTTTTTTTTT